AGGATATTGCAGAGCAATACATACTATAGGCAATGTGTATGACGAATTTGACACAGGGGTTAAAATTTCTCAATTAGTTTTATACAAGAAAAAAATTGATAGTGCCAAATTTTAAAGTTAATAATCTTGAGTTTTGTTTTGATTTTCGGTAATTTTTAATTGTGATTATGAGATCGCATGACTCCGGTCGAGTGCTAAAACGAAAAAGTCGATATTTTACAAAATAAAGACCAAATTAATGTGCATTTTACTAACACACTGGCAATATAGAGGAGAACCTATTCCGCAAACGCAAATAAATTGCCTTTCATGTGAAATGATAGTGCACGCATCGGTCTGATTATAGAATTCTACTACGAATGGAATGGCATTGATTACAAATAAAACTGAAATTATAGGCATTGTTCTTTTTTCCGATGAGTCACCGTCAGTTAATTAATAAATCTGCGGGATAATGGAGTACAAGCCATTTTCACGTGTCATATGATGGGTGAACAAAATTTAAATATACCGATAGATGATAAGGTTGATGGATATCAACAAGAAAAAAACAATGAGATATTAATATAGGCTGATAATAATGATGCCGGGGACATTTAAAGTATTTATGAATATGTGGAAGGATTATTTGATAAATCGAATTTTCGCGAAAATCCTAGGGATTATGCGAAAAAACATTGCTCGCCTCTTTCAATCATTATTCAGCAGTCCTGTCGTTTTGTTGATTAGTACGTAACCCGGAACGTATCCAGAGTGTTTTGTTTACTCTAATAATGTAAATCCTGTTTGGAACACCTTGGTATACAATTTGTCTATGATGTTTACGGGTGGGTTTACAGTTAAGCGGATTTTATGATATCATTATTATAAATTGATAATCGTAACTACTAACAATAATGATAAAATGTGTACAATCTGTACTCATCATCAGCTTATTCATGTCCCAACTGTTGGGCCATAGGCCTTTCCTATGGATGGAATAGAGAGACTGGTTTGTGAGCGAGACCCTCCGCGAGCGCGCGGCGAACTCGGCGAGGATTGGTGGGTGCTAACGACTGTTGATGCAGCCGGGACCAACTGCTTAACGTGTCTTCCAAAGCACGGAAGAGCTTGAGATAGTAACTTTTGGGTCACCCATCCAATGACCAACCATTGCAAAAGTTTCTTAATGATTTATATAAATAATAGAATAATTTAAATAGGTATTATTTAAAAGTTTTTAATGAGACCATATCAAATATATACAAATATAGCACCATTAATAAACGGGTTTACCTGTAAAACGAGATAAATACTAGATTTTTTTTACTTTTTTGTTCATTTGCTTAACTTCAGTCGTGTTTTTTTACGAATGATTTTCCAAAATTTACCCTTTTGGTTCCATTATTCTGAGTAAAGTATAAAACGAGAGTTATTGAATAGTGTAAAGTAGGAAGTATATTATCATTTAAGTGCCTACTCGTTAATAACTAGCGCGAACGTACAATTTTAACAATTAACTGCACAGATTGTTGGTTGCGGGTTTTTGCTTCCATCTTACGGCTAACGGTTGACGTAACAGCATTCTATATAAAATTGTCCCGTTCTTTAGTGCCTGAGCAATTATAGTTTTTTGTTTTCAGACTTTTATTGGTTGGCAAAGTAGGTAAATAGGTAGGTATTATTAGTGCGCCTTTTGAAAGTATCGCAAATTAGTAAGAGATCATTACGTTACAGGCTTCGTTTCTAGCGGAAACTATAGCACTATTATTAAATAAACAAAAAAAAAACCACCCAGTGACCAGCATTTACGGAAGCAGCTTTACTTCTGAAATCAGTGACCGAACGTAGTTACTCTATGCTGTGAAGCATAATACAATTGTTTTGAATCGTCCATATTTTTTTCCCTACCATCCGTTAAGGTTTACAAAATATACATTGTTACAGTGCCGACACAAAATTAGGCCAATCATTGTACATCGTTACATTGTTAATAGTGGTATGATGTTTGTTAACTGTGAAGTGCAATGTAATGGTCACAGGGTCATTATATCATCATCAGCCTCCGGGGCGTGTTTAGCATCCCCCGAGGATTAATAAATCAAATCATAATAATGGGTTAGTAACGAAAGCCTTCATACGGCTTATGCCGCCCTTCGCAGACTGCCGCTCCGGGTCATGACCCACTTGGTCCTAGGGTAAATACGCCCCCAGTCAGCCTACATATGTTTATGTGCTGGGGCACAGGCACAGGCCTTTCCTATGGACAGTGGCCCGATCTCTCCATTTTGCTTTACATGCCTTCCGCACCGATTTTGGCGGGACGTCCCGGTTTTTAAATCAAAATTAAAAGTCACCTCAACTCAACCGTGCGTGCAGCGTACTGAGAAAGCGCGGGCGGGTGGCACAGACAAGTGTGGACTGGCCACCTACCCGGCGCGTAATGAAAAACTCTCAAACAAAGACTCAACTATTTATCTATAGGGTAAATCTGATTTAAAATATCAAATTTTTATTAAAATACATTTTCTATGGATATTTTTACTAGTTACATATCTATTGTCACGTAAACGTAATTTGAACTGAAATAAAAAAATTGTGTGTGTCAGCTCCGACGCACGACTGGAATTTACTCCTTAAGTTCGATAGTCTAACCAGACGCAAAAAGAGTTTGTTTAACTTTAAAAAGATTGATACTGTATGAAAGGGTAAATTAACAAATTAATGAAAATAATATACATACATAAATATATATTTATTCATTTCATATATATTTATTATAACTAATCGACGAAATATTTTACATTAAACTTTTTACAATAGCCAATTTCAGATGTGCATAAATATATTATTTTAAGTTATTGTACATCTTAGTGTTTTTATTTGTTTTGTTACCTACCTTAAGTCGTGGTGGGCGATAACAGAGTCATGTTGTTAAGTTAAATATTTGTAAGGACAAATCTCAGTTTGTCCTTGGTGGGCGATTATGTATACGCCATTTGTGCATTTAAAATTTTAGTTCATATGTATCAAAATAGAAGGCGCTGTAGTTCATTGCATCACGCTTGTAAATATGTTTGGAGCTACATATACGCAAAACGTCACCTAATGGTCTAACAAAATACACTGTAGTTTCAATTTAATTCTTTTGCACCTAAGCTCTCGGATTTCAGAGTCATTTTGGCTCGAACAGGATGCGCACCAAAAACGTAACGAGGTCATTCATCGATAGATTTTACTCCTCACATTATTCTCATACCGGGTCCCTTATATATGCAAATCGATTCTTAAGGAGTAAACTCCAAAAGATAAATATTCAATAACTTCTGATTATATACGGTTTTTTACTATGTCCCGCTTTCGACGAAAGAATCCCGTTTTTTTCACTCAAAAAGTTCTTACCACCCGACTTGGCAAAAAAAAAATCTGGCAACGCTGAATGAGGTCACCTATCCTAAGCTATGGCATTGCGAAAGTTGCTTTACTTCCACGGTCGTAATCTGAACTACGCCTGAGATCGCAGGGCATTTCAACATTACCAACGGTACTGCATCCACCGTTAGGTTCGAGAACGATGAGATTGCGGCCGTATCCAATGATTACGTTACAATTACGAAAAATAAGACCACCATTAGGTAATCGCCACTTACGCTCCACTCTTGAACTTGAGCGGTACCGTCCTACTTGTTTGACTTTGAAGTTGTGTTTTTTAACAATGTTCTTTTGCTGTTGTATCTCATAATGGTTATTACGATGATGTGTTAGTATTTTAATTAAAGGATATGGACTCAGCGGTCCACAATACTAAATGAAGTTTGCTAAAGAAGATTTAGTATTTTATATCGAAAAAGTTACCTAAAATAAAAAATGAGGATATCAAATTTATATTTTGTTTTCTTTAAAGCATTTAACCGCTAGATGTTTAAATCTAAAGAAAATGTTAATAGAGAAAAAGTAGGTCCACATGTGGTTAGGGCGTTTTGTCTACAATTGTAAAAGTTAAGCTATTTTTCAAATACCTTAAGATAAGGAATTAAAAATAAAATTGTGGTAGGGTGCTTCCGAAGACATGTTTAGTTGTTGGTCTTGATCACAGATCCTGATTTTATCTTCAGTATCCAATAAAGCACACTGAGCCCGTGAGATGGGCTCAGTGTGCTGCTCATCCCAATTCATACTATACCATGAGATAGGACTGTATCACATCATAGCAGTGGGGACATTAAAAGTTTAATAACGCGAAGGGACAGCGGATACTCCTTCTAAATTGAAGTATCTACATAGTATTCTTCACCTTATTACAGCCTGCAGCCCTATAACAATGACCTGAAGGAAATAAGGTTGCCAGAGACTGTATACCCGTGTATCGCGGCTCGTATTTATGTCAGTTGTATCTTCGCTAGACACCTAGTTACTTGTTTAAAATTATTTATTCTCGTTTATTTCTAGCAAAACTAAGTCTTCTATAAGTTTATTATTCTATGGTTGAATTGACACGAAGGAGTACCTTCGGAGAGAGCTCGTGACCCAACGTTGAATATAAATGCACTCACGAAAACCATTCATGACAAGATCGTACGCACGCCAAATGTTAATAGCAGATAAAACGATAATATCCAACGAATTCATCGAACGTTACTTATGATCTTAGAGATCAAGAGGGATTCTTAACTCACCAAACTGCTATTAACGCGTTTGCGAACCAATTTAGAACTCTACGAAGCCATATAAAAGTAATATGATACACAATTACATAACTGAAAGTTGCATGAAGTGCTCGTATTCAGCTATTGAGAAAAATAACATTAGCTAAAAATCATTGAAACGATATTTTATATCGTTTCAATGATTTTTAGCGTGTGATTTTAAACACACAAATACGTGATTTGTATTTTAATACAAATCACGTATTTGTGTGTTTAAAAACAATATCTTACAATGTTTGTATAACAATAACCAATCTTCATAATTAGTTTTAGGATTCTAATCGTCCAATATATTAATTATTTCAATTTGGCTAGATGCATAGTGAATTTAAAATTACAAAAAACTTCTATAAAAAAGTGATTTTGTGCAGAAGTGACGCAGTTTCATGAAATTACTTTTGATATCTTGAAACTCCAGTGCTAGTGTTAATAAAAAAGGTTTTAGCAATGATTTGACGAGTGATGTGATTTGAAAATAGAAAACGGTCAATTCGTCACTCGAAGGGGGTTATTTCGTAATGGCGAAGTGGGTTTGGTTGGCTGCGCTGCTGTGTGGTTCGCAGGCGGCAGTGTTGCCACCACCTTGGGCGGACGTCCGACGGAACCCTTGCGCTGCCCACCCTAAAGGATGGCTGATGCTGTACTGGCCCGCGGATGGCAAATGCTACACCATTTATAAGGTAAGCACTGTTTGAGTATGTTCATTTTGTTTCCACTCATAATCCCTTTTTATAGATTACAAATATTTACAAACATAGAATGTGTCAGTAGACAATTTTCTCCCACTGATTTTCGCTAAAACCTACCAAAAGTTTTCGAATTTGCTTCTAGCAAATTCGAAAGCGAGGTTTTAATTGGTATATTTTACCAATACCAAAAATTTGATGAAACTTTTTATAAAAACTAAATCACAGGCCTTGCCTACACCTAAAATTATCTAAGACAAGGAACAATAACATTGGTCCATCCATGATTCAGATAATGGTTCTTGATTATGCTTATTAACGATAAAAATTGTAGGTGTCAGTGAAACATATTTTGGCCACCCATCTAAAGACCAGCCTTTACGAAAGCTGCATAATGTGCAGCAAATTACCCGTCTCCATATATACTTCATTAAAATGGTAAGGAACCTAATCCTACCCTATGGGAAGTTTTACTGCAAACATTTGTAAAGGGGAGGTGACTTACCCAGAAGGGCGCTCTAATTCGAGCGACGAATTCACATTGCCCTACCACATTTAAATTGATAAGCATGTATAATAGATAAATATCTGATTAGGAGGATGAGTAGTAAGTACCCCAAGCACGAACTTTGACAGATCTGCATTCGTATCGCCAACGTCTTTCTATAGAAACTAAGCAGTCCTACCGAACTAAGAGCATACTGAGTTTTTCCATAGAAACATTGAAATGACGATGCGAATACTTTCTCGCTAGCTGTTTGTGCTTGGGGATAGATATTTTGATGTATAGTAAGTACACCAAAATATCTTTACAGAAACTTTTATTTCTTGACATAAAGTAATTCAAAACATTGATGTATGTTATCAACATTAAGGTTAAGAATAATAAACAGCAAACTTTTCGTACTTCTTTTTCCTAAAACTGTGTGTATGTTGTTTAACAAATAATATTTGTTATACTAAATACTTTTAAAATCAATAATAAAAAAGTTCTTTCTCGACTGGGAATCGAACCCGGGCCTGTAGGTGAGCTTTCTACCACTGAACCATCGATGCTTGTTGCTAAGGTACATTTTTTTTAATACAATTAAAAATGTATGTGTTTCGTTCATCTTAAGCATGTTCTTAAGATGATCGATTTTTTTAGCAACATATCAAAAGTTCTAAAAAAAATATTATTATTGGTTTGATTGAGGAATTCCTCGAGAAAGGAATTGATATATCTTAAGAATTTATTACAAGTATTGTATAATTAACGGTTTAGCTTAAGCAATCCAGTATGAAGTTTACAATAAAATTGCCAAATGCCTATTGTTCTGGGAATAAGTAGTTAGTGGGTCAGTTGTGTGTGTGTCATAACAAGATCGAACGGTCACGGACTTCGTGTGTTAATGCAATGAAACCGGTAAAACTGGTGCCTTTAAAATGCATTTTGATTTTGAATTGCTACTACATATATGATGTGTATTGCCAAAATGATGCTGAAACGATTGCGCAGGGGGGAAATAGAGATAGATATCACTAGACAAAACAATGTTTGCGTAATTGATGTAATCGAAGTAGTTTTAGAAGATTAAAGCCACATAACACTTCATAAGTTTTTTGCTCCTGCAGTAAATACCTAAATTCCACGGCAAAATAAGGTAATCAGGCAAGGCAACATTTGTGCGACGCTTCGACTCTAATCCCAGCAATTCAACTTTTAAAAACAAAAGCTAAGCTGTATCTAATAATTATTTTCTTGGTTGGTTATGGTTAGTATCGTTGTATTTGAAAAGAAAATTAGCGTTTTGGCTTATGCTGCAACAAAAGCTGAGCTCCACCCTTTCGGCTGGTTATTAATAATATGTTTATAACGGATGAAACACCGATTTTTTTTTTATTTTTTTTTACTTTATTTAAAAAGTTGAGGATCAAGTCTTTTTAAATATGTTACCTTCATACAATTACCTAATATCACCGGTAAAACCATATATACTTTAAGATAGAAAGGTGAAGTTAAATTATGTGACTGGGATTCGGTGTCATTGCTTAAATATCATTGCCGCTTATCATCACGCGGGCTATTATTAAAAGAAGAACATGAAAAGGATTAAAGCGAGGAAATCCATGTTAATAAATTGCGTATCGCGATGTAGGAAATGTTTTAACTTTATTACCGGGTAAGTGTAACGAGCGTGTGTCGGAATTGGGGCAGCGTTGCACCACCACGCACTGGCGCCGCTCCGCTCCGATCTTTACTTAGAACTATCACTTTCTCTTATGCCCGTCTATCATGGCAGGATTCATTAATGATGACCTTCTCTAACGTTGAGCAAGAATCAATGTGCTAATTTAGCTGCAGATTCTCATCACAGTAATTTAGAGGTTGCCTGATAGATTAACAATAGGAAGTGAATTGACATCCATAATTATTTACAAAGTACGAGTATACTAAATACGACTTTTTGACATTGATTTCATTCATGATTTTTAAATTTATACCTAGTTTAATGGCTTATTTACAACCAGCAAAGAGAAGGGTGCGTATTTTTTTCTGCAAAATTTCGAAGTGAAAACTTCTTTTGGCCCGTTAGCCATTTTTTGAAATGACTTTTTTATTTACTTTTGTATCATTTTTTTTTTTTTAGGTTTGAGTTTTCACGTGCCACCGACATTTTTTTGAAGCGGCAGTTTATCCCATATTCTGTTTGTACCAAAGCTAGACAACAAGTCTAGAATCTGGGTTGATAGATGGTTTTCGTAATTGAATATACCAACAGTTGCTTAGTAATCAACGACTGAAAGAAAACGCAGAGAAATACTTAATTATTATGGATATTAGAAATTGTAATTAAAAAGATTAATGCATTCAGTGACGTACATTTAAATAATGGTAATCATTTGCATCAGTGACCCAGGACATTACTGCTCCCTCAATAGTTATAGGACGCTAACAGTATCTTAACCATCGATATTTCACGATGCTATCGTATCCCCGATGACTCGCACTAATGCCAGTTGCATTTGACAATTGACAAGGTCTAACGAACCGATTCAATTAAGTAACAGGTATAAGATGTAACTAGAGATATTAATGAGAACCATTGCTTGGTAATCGATACTATCAATAACAATTTACGCAGATCGGTTTCTATTAGTGAGCAGCCAGTTTTAATCTTGAACAAGAAGCGAACAATGCTCGAACAAATTCTAGATTGGTCTTGTAGCATTTGCGTTGCTAATCTAGTTAATACATCTGATTTTCTGAGATTTGTTAGGAAATATATTTAATGTTTGACCTGTTTCAATGGTTTTTAAGGTAATACTATTATTTAAAATCAAAACAGGTATCTTTATAATGAGTCGCATTAATCTGTTTGTTAGTTTAGTTAATGATTTCACTAGCTATTCGATACTATGTCAATGCTTTACTATAACCGATGTAATATAGATGTATTATGAATCTTCTTGTTATTATTGTGTGTTAGCTTAGGTAACTGTTATGTTCTCAAGATTTTTATACTCAAATTCTGTAAAAAACATTAAGTTTTCTTCAAAGCATAAATCAACTTCTTTATCTGATACTTTAGTGTATTAAGTTATGTAATACATCATTGTGTTTATTACTTAAGTTAAAAAACTTATATTATTATTATGTTCTAGTACACCTTACACTTTCTTATAATTGCTTGACAAAGTTTTTGCTTTATCTCAACGTTTTTGTTTTAGTTACTTTGTGCTATTAAACTTTTACCCGTTGTTGACTTTACAACAAGTACATATGGTTTGTTTGTTTTTCCAGTTCGTTTTGACTTTTGTTTACTGTTCAAATTAAGAAGTCACTACGTTTGAATAAAAATTTTTTTTCCACTTGTGTCTGCGGAACGCCCAATTTGGGTGAAGTAACATAATTGTCGATTCAATGAGAAGCATAAAAAACTTGGTACAAGCCTTAAGTTTTGATCGAATTATGATACGCATACAGAAGACGGAAATCTCGGAGACGGGTCGGTAATATTCAAAACTGGGTGTAGTTGCGTCCCACGATGCGTTGGGCATTAACTGACGGAAACGCAGCATGCTAGCGAGCATTCCGGCATCGTAATCGACTAATTATGTCAATCTGTAGCCTTGGGTCGGGTCACAGCTGCATTGTTATGTAAACAAACATTCGCTGCGCTCTCCAACTCCAAATAAGAATACCGAACGCGGCGAACAAATGACAGGCGTCTGATCGAGATGTTCTGATACATAAAAGATCGTCATGATTAGACTTAGCTTGATATTTCTAAATTCAACTTGATAAATATTTTATGATTGTGTCGACTTTTAATGGGATCTACAAACCTGTAGTACATCATTTTGTTCTATTGTCAATAGTGAAAGAAGCCCAACACTGAAAGAATCATTCAAATCGGACCCGTAGTTCCAGATATTAGCGCGTTCAAACAAACAAACAAACTCTGCAGCTTTATAATACTAGTATAGATAAGTATAGATTTATGCTAGGAATATAAAAAATAATTTATTGATGTGTAACATCTTTCCTCTCGCTTTCCTGCAATTTGTGGGAGTGATTTCGTTAAATAATAATAATAACTTAAACACAATGAACCTGAAATAGAAAAAGTTGTTTAGGTACTATGTTTAAGCTCAACTTTTCTAATTAAGTAAGTGGTATTATTTTCACACTCACAAACAGTCAGGATCAGTATTACACTTCAAAATAAAATATTTATCAAATGAACACGTAGATAGCAGCATATGTGCGAGACACAGGCACCAACGCCCTATTTGTTCAAGAATTGACGCGGAAAGACTAAATGAGTACATGGTGTCATGGGCTCGTTTTTAAAGTATCTACATAATGTCAGTTAAATAATACTCAGCCCTAAATCCCTAATGATAATGTCTTTTGTCTCTTGCACAATGAGTTTCTCGTAGAAGGTAGTCACGTATTCGTTTCCCGGTAACGACCGCGCCGGCGCAGGTTCATGGGTCATGTTGCGTAACACCACGCGACAGACTTAGTATAGGTTGCGTCATCGTAGGGGACAATAATTGGGTACTAAACTAACGGCATTTGCGGTTTCGTTACAAATGCCATAACTGCACTTCTTTGCCCTTAAATTGCACCGACGTTATAAGCAAAGATTAACAACTGACTGCGAGCTGCAACTCTAAGTAGCTATTACTTGCTTGTGTCAACGATTTGCGCTTTTACGTATAAGAAGTAACACCACCCTTATGAACTCTGTTTGTAATAGGGATTTTGACAAACTAAATGATGGTGGTAAATTATAAGAAATTCCATTTAGTTCGACAGTTGTATTATGAAAAAGAATAGACACTTAATTTTTTTGGTGAATCAACCAAAAATTGACAAAATTAAAGCATGTCAAAGTTTGGAAGTGAGGGGCTCATGACGTCACTTCTAAGTAAAAATTGTATTAAATCGCGACGTCATGCGACATTTCAAATTAATATATCTCTGTAATGTTAAAATTATGCGTATAAAGAAAAAATACGTGTCCAATACTTTTTTTAATACATATAACTACTATTTTTTGAATACTTGATAGACGAAGAAAAGAAATTTAACCATCATCCCTATTAAAGAGAGACGAGTTCTTAAAATTCACCGTGCAGGTGCCAGGTCCATCGTGTGGGACAGAGAGAAACTTCGAGCAGTGCCCGGGAATTGCGACTCAGGCGTAGGTTTAAGGAGGCCCCCTTTAAGATGCGCATCATTCACTGCTCGAGTAGCCCGCCCTGCCTAGCCAAATTTGATAGGAAGTGCAGCGTTAGTTACTCATTCCAAAATTAAACTTACTGCAGTTCTCGACAGACCAAGGTCTTTTAGAAGATTAAAGAGAGATTTGCTGGTATATCTCTCGACGACCTCCGTGGCCTAGTGGTTTGTACGCCGGGTTTCAAAGTGTCGCCTGCTCCAGAGGTCCCGGGTTCGAGTCCCGGTGGGGGCAGATGTTTGTGTGATGAATACGAGCATTTGTACTGCAGTCATGGATGTTTAATATGTATTTCTATATAAATAAACTTATATACAGGGTGGTCCAACTAGTGACGCCAACATTTTTTTTAGATTCCTCCTTAGGGTATCCGAAAATACCCCATGTATGTTTCGCGATTTTTTTTTACTTTTCGTGTTATAATTTTTTTCGTGTATTTTTAATAATTTTTGCCAGCGAGGTTTCAAAAATTCTTATCTTTTTTCGTAGTAGGTATTTTGCAGTCTTTTTTTTGTGACATAATTTTCTTGAATGTTGTTTTATTAAAAGAATAACTCAGCTTCCTGCAATTACTTAAAATTACTCAAAAAAGGCTTGAAAGTTGGAACTTTAGTTTTTAGTAGGATTAACTCAAACATTCAACTTCAATTGAGAAGTACAAAAAGGAGTTTCCATAGGTTCTCGCTAAAATTAAAAACTCCGCAAATTGTACTCAATCAGCCTATTTCTGTTGTAATTGGCTTTTGAAGGTAGATAAGCTAAAAATCATTGAAACATGATTAAAGCATGTGTGTATGTCAAATCAGTTAGTATCAGTATATGTATTCTATCCGTTACCCTAGTATCCCATAACACAAGCCTACAGTGCTTACTTTGGGGCTAGGCTAATTGGTGTGAGTGTTACTTCTCGCTCCTACTTCTATAAATAAACCACAAAGCCCTTTTTGGTTAGGTCGTTGGTTAGACCGTAATATTTATTTACCACTAGTATACTACTATTTTTCAGAGGCTTTCCCCATCTGACTAGATTACCTTGGTGGAGGGTCATTTGGAAAGCAATAAGATAGAATTTTATTAGAAGGCTATTGGCACGGAATTCTATTTTAAAATCTTTTTTAATTTAATCTTAGTCTATAATCGCGATAAACGTAGGTGTGGAAAGTCAATAGCGGCTATCATAACCAACCATCGAACTGCGTGACGATAGATACTAGACGATAGCTGGACTAGCGGTTTTCGACACACATACTAGACAGGGGGTTAGGGGAACGATAAATTTGTGTGTGCAGGTGAAGGAGCGTACAACCACTCCTTTAGCACCGAAAATTTGGACGCTAATTTTAGCTCAGTAAGTAGTCAACACTTCGTCGCGCAGGTGTCACCATCATCATCATAATCAGCCGGTGTACGTCCACTGCTGGCATAGCCTCGTCTAGGGATTTTCAAACACAATGGTTGTGCGCTTTCCGCGTCCAGTGGATCCCCCCGACTCGCTTGATATCGCTTCTCTCTCTTTTCTCTCGTCCATCGGCTTTCCGAACAATGTGCCCCCCCCCCCCCATTGTCACTTCAGCTTGGCGATCCGTTGAGCTATATCGGTCACTCTATCTAGTTCTTCTATGGATTTCCTCATTCCTGATTAGATCACGTAAAGAAACACCGAGCTTGCTCTCTCTATCGCTCGCTGTGCGACTCCTCTGAGTCTTCTTATGAAGCCAATTGTGAACAAACACGTCTCAGCTCCCTATGTCATCATTGACACAAACACACTGTTCCAAGACCTTAGTCTTAAGGCACCGCACAGGTATGGGAGAGGCATAAGAGTATCTATGATAATTTCTCTTTGCGTTCTAAATTCAATCATTCACTATAATGAAATTTGTTGAGATTTTCTGCGTACGCCCACGAAGGTTCGTGGACAGAAAATATAAATAAAATTATCAATTTTATTCTTGAACATTTTTATGTAGAAATATCATGCCAACAGATATCTGTGTAGAATACAATAGGACAATAATACCCAAAGTAAATAATTGCATGACGAGAATTTTCATAAGTATTTTTTGTTAGGTGCTTATTGGCTAAAAACATATATGAATTAATGTTACTATTGTTTTCGAAGTCATCATCATCAATTTTGCTCATTCTTTAACGCGAACACGAATATTGTGAAAATATCTTTGTCCACCAGCAGTGCTATTCTGTAAAATTTTCTTTAACCAAAGGTGAACGAGTATTACTCTTAAATCTATAAATCGAATAGGAATATAGGAACCCCTAAGCAATTTTAAAGGATCTTTTCAACGATATCCCACACGATGGGGTAGATGATGAAAAAAAATATCCCCAGGTTACATGTAGGAGAGCCTAACAAAAAATATTTTTCAAAATTTTATTCTACCATTTTGTAGGCGTGACCGATATACATATCTGTACAAAATTACAGGTTTTTAGTGCTAAAGTCTCCAAGCAAAACTGGGGACGGACAGACGGACATGACGAAACTATAAGGGTTCACGGAACCCTAAAAAGGTTCTTAATACATTAAAGCAAACGTGCGTGTCAAGGAACACTAGGTTGGAACGAAGTTAAAATATACGAAACAACTGACGGTTGTGAAGGAAAAATCTTACACTTTTTTCGCCTAGCCTTTCTTGCGAATTTATGTGTTTATTTGATTGAGACGATTTTTCGTTTTATTAAACGATTCTAAAAATTAGGCTCAGGAATACAGTTTTTATACGTAAATGTCCAAAGTATCGATCATGGATAACCAACATTAGATTAACCTTTAGCTTCAATGCGAAATGAGCGGATCCGATGCGGATCCTTTCCCATATGGACTTGCGCGGATCCGCATCGGATCCGTGCGTGAAAATTTTACAGAATAGCACCGCTGATGGCTGATGCCATAGTCATCTAAGTGAGAGTTGCTGACATAATAAATACTTGCCTAATTCCGACGGTATTCCAACAAGTAGGTTGACATACAATTAATATTTCTCAAAACTGATATAATAATTACTTCCTTTTATGTAAATCCATACTGTTGAGTCACGTGCAGCAAATTTTGCCGCGTTAACTTGTAAGTTTTTTGTGGATGTCATAAATACCATCGTTAGTATAATATAATTACAAACGTCTGATAATAAATCACGAAACTTCTGGTAATAAATCACGGCTATTGTCATGTAAACAATGTATTGCGTTTTACTTATCATAAACGTGTAGTTTAAAACAATTAAAAGGTCACAATGGAATTTCTGTATAGTAATTTACATACTTTAACTGAATCTCATCAACCTTGTCACTATCGGCTCTTTTGGATTTTTCCGGGAAACAATTTGTGCTTCTTGTCATAGTCTTGTCGTAAAAGCCATCTATTGTATTTATCCAACATGGAATATTTGTCTTATAAATGCTAATATTTAATTTTCAGGACAATAAAGCTTCCCAATCATTCGTTCGATTTACTCAATGGAACAGATATTCAATTCTGTATGAATGATGATGATGACGATGATTCAGATACCATGATTTGATCTTTCTATAGTTGGCTTTAAGTAGCTTTACAATATGTGCAATTTAATACAACTAATAAGAGCCTCGATTGAACCCATCTCATAAGTAGGTACAAAACCAATCATACCACGTACGATCACGCAAAATATTGTATAATGTAGAATTTGTCTATTAATATTATTAACAGTAATTTGACAGTACTTAAGCGTGATCGCGTGCGATTTATGCGCTATACCTATAACTATTAGTATTTACTCTTACATCTATTACTACTACTAGGCTTGTGCTGCAATTACATTGTTAGCCCGTATTCGGGTGCACGAAATACTTTACTCGAATTCGGGCACCCGAAGTAATATTTACACTGAAATACGGGCTGGAAGATGTCGTCGGGTAAACAAAAGGAAATCCACCCGAATACGGGCGTACGCGACTAAATACATTTACACTTAGTCGTTTACCCGAATTCCATTGGCTTCGGGCTAAAGAACAAGTGTAATCTCGCCGTTAGTCTGGTTATCGCATACTGATGATTGTGTAGTACATGTTCTAAAGCCTTTATACAGATGTCATGACACATATTAGAACTTTTCAAATTTCAGAAAGGTCACCCATGCCCCGATACTCAAGAATTGAGCCCTGGGCGCTGGGGAGGCAGGACGGTGGCCGAATGCAAGTGCCCCCCTGGCACAGCGCAGCTACCTCATACTACCACCTGCCACAAGCTGTTCGAGCGCGGCCCCTGCAGGCCAGGGGAGTACTTCGCGCCCGTAGAGGAGTCTTTCAACAAGAGAGGGTAGGTAAGCATCTCAACGCGATTTTAGAGATTTTTTTAAAACTTTTTCTCTACAGACATTAGTCGTGATATATTTATTTATTGTTATCTAACAACAAGGATTAAGAATATTTCATATGGGGCACATTTTTTTGATACCAAACTAAGTTACATAATTATGTACTTCGTGTTTGTGAAATTAAAAACAACGAAGCTGTCACAAATACCAAATATAGAAGTGCTTTTTGAAGTGAAACTTCTTTACGCACGCTTGACTTGGGGAGTAAGCTGGCGAACGCGTTACGAAAAGTGTGATCGGGCGAGGCGAACGGGAGTTGAGTGGGGGATATAAGCAAGAGAAAGCTGTGCGTGCGCACATTTTCTTTCTCTCTTTCTCTTATAGCTAGTAAATGAAATATGTATATGTACATACATCTATATATTGTACACACACACATATATATATATATATATACATACAGATGGAGCTAAAGAAGTTTCACTTCAGTCGTGTGGTCATAAGCACACTCGTTCTATTTTAACAATTCATTACAGTTTTTAATTCAGTAATGGATAAAATTCTAAAGTCCTCGCAGGCAGAATTGTGGACAGAAGGGTTCTGTGCTATAGGTATACATTTCACTCAAGTAAATACAAATTCCTGTTAAAACTTTAGATAATTATCCATTTTAAAAAAATACGCATATATAGATCTGTTATATGATACGTATATAGATACGTTCAAATAAATTAAATCTAAGTCTTTTTCCAACTTAAGGATTTCCGACTTTCGATGGTCAGTATCAATTAACCTTTTACCACGAAACGTTTAGAAGAAAAGAAATGCTAAACTTTGTAAGTGGGGCAAGGTTGTTACGAACGTCGCTGTCATATGAGTCATTTGGCAATGCCGCAGTTGGAATTTCCATTCGATTGGTTTATATTGCCTAATACGGGATAACTAGATGTTCTCTGTATTCCAGCGAACGTCAAGGCATGTGCGTGAGGCCGCAGCAGTGCGCCGACGAAACCTTGCTGTACTGGCCCGCGGATGGCCGCTGCTACTACAGGATGACTCAGGGGCCCTGTTACCCTGGCGCTATTCTAGATGCCGGACGTGATGGCCTTGCTAATTGCACGGTGAGTTTCACATAGATATCATGTTAAAACTTAAAATATAGAAACGCGCAGTGTAGGGTTCTGTAGTTGCTTGTCGTCACCACAATATATTTTGGAAAGAGTCTAAATTTAAGTAATTACTTCGTCTAAGTCACTTTTAATGTTTTCTTTTAGGGATTTTTTATTACGTCAGAAATTTTCTAATACATAAGTTAAACGACTATTACTCTTAAACTAACAAATCTATTTTGACCGTTATATTTTTTCTTGAAGGTTCATGAAAAGCCTTATTATCATAAATTTTTAAAGGTTTTTCAAGCCAAAAGTTACGCTTTTAGTGGGGGGGTACACGAACAAAATTGTAATTTTAAAGGACCTATGCATTCAACAATATCGCACACGATGGGGAAGACGATGAAAAAATGAAGTCATTTCCAGGTTATATTTAGGGGAGCTACCCTAAAAAAGATATTTTTCAAATTTTTATTCTACTATTTATAGGCATGATTGATATACATATCTCCACTAAATTACAGCTTAATAGTGCTAACAGTCTCTAAGTTAAACCGGGGTCGGAAAATAGACAGACATGACAAGACGAAACCATAAGGGTTCTTTGTCAGGACTACAGAACCTTAAAAACCAATTGTCAGTGTTGTGGAACACTCGTTTGAAAAGAAGTTAAAAATAAACATAAGTATAAGTACACATAATACGCCGCAGAACAGAAGACGCAAAATGGTGACGGAAAATCTCAGTTTATTTCGCCTATTATAAAATTTTGATTCTACGTCCCTAAATTACTCATTCGATAAATTTTATGAACCTGCAGGTCTCTACTGGTAATAAACAACAACAATTATTTTTTCCAAGTATAGAAATAATTTCGAATTTGGAATGTGAAACTTCATGGGCGCACAAATCTCAAAACGGACCTATTATTTTATGATGAATTTGGCCCCCATCCGCCAACACCGTACCGTGCGATAAGGAACCACTCAAAACAAGCAACAAAATATGATAAAATCATTTGTTTAATAATAATTTTAACTGCTTCCAGTGTTTGATTGGCGGACCTCATCACTGGACTGTGGATGGAGGCTGCTATGCGCACTACACGCGAGGTCCCTGTGAGAAGGGCCAGTTATTCCTGCCTGGGGCTCGGTGCGGCTGTGAGAAGCACCTGCCTCAGTACCATGATGAAACTGGTGCCTGCTATGAACTCGGTGAGAAACTTTTCATAGTGTGATGTCGTACGGTATTTTGCTGTGGGGAATGCTGCCGACAATCATACTACTTTTATGCTGCAAAAGCGGGCTCTTCAATCAATTAACAATCTTAAGACTAGAGATTCTTTAAGAGAAAAATTTAAAGAAATCGATATAATGACAGTTGCTTCTTAGTACATTAATGAAAATTTAATGTATGTTCGAAAAAATATTACATTATTTCCTACAAAAAGTGATAAGCACTCGCTTAATACAAGAATTAAAAAGAGATTAGCTGTACCAATTATAAGGCTCCACATAACCAATAATTCATTTATAGGTCTTTGTTTACGCTCTTACAATAAAGTCCCTAGCAATATCCAATAATTAAGCGTCAATAAGTTTAAAGCTACCATTAAAAGAGTTCTTATTAATAAAGCCTATTATAAAGTGTCTGATTATATTTCAGAAAAAATGCTTGGGTTTAAACTGTTCCAAACATTCCAGCAGTCTTTTTCTATAACCTTACTCTATATTCCTTAACTGGTAGTAGGGGGAAAAATATGGACGATTCAAAATAGTTCTATTGTGCATCCAATTAAAATAAAGATATTTTGACTTTTTGACTGCACTGTTATTTCCCAAACTTTAAATTGTTTCCTTGGCGCCCTTTGAGTATGATCATTTTTCTTCTCTTCGTTTACATATTCACTGTATGTATTATCTACAAATACCCCTTTCCCAGGAAGAACTTCTAGAGGCCTGTAACTTTTCTTTAGCTTTTAGTTTTTACCATGGTTTACTTTTTTTAATGTCAATGAGAATTTTATTCTGTCCTTCTGCCAGCTTTCAGTTTATATACGCATCTTCTTTGTTGTCGTTATATATGTTTTTTAGGTATATTTCATCTAACAAATTACAAAATACCTACTGACATCAAATGGGACTTATTTTTATGAGGAAATATAATAAACAGTATCAGCGTATTTAACAGAAAAAACTTTAATGGCGAACTCAATATTTTAAGTGTATAGTAGCGCCAATATCAGTGAATTCACAGTAGACAAAATACCTACTTTGTCTACTAATTTCAAACTTTCAATCTTTCAGATACCCTCGGCCCTTGTTCCAAAGGTCACACGTTTTCAGTGACAGATGTGACGTCAGAAGGCTCCAAAGCTGAGTGTAGATGCAAGTCGTTCCACGCTCGCGCTTCGGACGGGGCCTGCTACAGACTTTACACGAGGGGTCCTTGTGCCCATGACGAAATGATAGCTAGAGGAGGACGATGTACGAAGGTATACATTTTTTTATGTTTTATTGTGTTTGGGGTACCTGGTAATCTAATTTGCAAGAATGTATTTAATCGACCTCTATACTCTGTAGCTGAGATGTATAAGATTTGTACATTTGCAACCATTTGAAGTTCTGGGTTACATTGTTGGTCAGATTAACGTAACAAATAAAATTGCTTACTCTTACTACCTTATCTTATCTTATATAGCCCCAGGTTGCGGTGATTAACCATTGTATTTAAGAGTTCCTTATAGACGGTTCGGAAGTGGAGAGACTGGTAATCTGTAATACAGGTCTCCTAGTACAGACGCCAGTCTTTCACATAACTAGATATATATGTATTAAGGTTAAGAAAGAAAGAAAGAAAGAAAGAAAGAAAGAAAGAAAGAAAGAAAGAAAGAAAGAAAGAAAGAAAGAAAGAAAGAAAGAAAGAAAGAAAGAAAGAAAGAAAAAGTATTTAATTAGTTAAGTTAAGTTAATTAGTAGTTAAGTTAATGATGTATTGTTACGTGAGAAAAGAAATAAATATATTATTATTATTCTTTCTGATTTTATATGATGATTGATTTTAATAACATACATGAGTAACTTAGTGTAGCCCGGACGGCGCTGCTCTGTTCTGTAGTAGAAACGCCGCCGGCGGACATGGTGTGGAGTGATGTGTGCGTGTGTGATGAAGCATGTGCCGTATACGCGGGGCCGTCTGTACGTAGCGACGGGGCGGTGGTGCTACCGGCCGAAATATGATGTGTGCGTGTGTGTATGTCCAGGGTGGGCCGCAGGTGCCGTGCGCGCGGGGCCGTCTATACATAGCGGCGCGGCGGCGGTGCTACCGGCCGGAATATGATGTGTGCGTGTGTGTATGTACTGGGCGCGCTGTAGGTGCCGTATGTGCGGGGCCGCCTGTACGTAGCGGCGCGGCGGCGCGGTGCTACCTGTCGGAATATGATGTGTGCGTGTGTATATATACGGGGCGGGCTGCAGGTGCCGTGCGCGCGGGGCCGTCTGTACGTGGCGGTGCTATCGGCCAGAATATGATGTGTGCGTGTGTGTATGTACGGGGCGGGTCGCAGGTGCCGTGCGCGCGGGGCCGCCTGTACGTGGCGGCGCGGCGGCGGTGCTACCGGCCGGGTGCGCCGGAGCCGTGCCCCGCGGGGGAGGTGGTGGCGTTCGACCTGGAGGCGCGACCGGCACTCGACGGTCTCAGCCACAATGGAGTTTGCGCTTGCGGCAGTGGTGCGTGTACCAGGAAAGAGGTACTCAATTATTTTTCACTGTATCAAGTTATAAGGCCCAAAGGCATCAAAGTTCTTAATTCAAATTTAAAACAAATGAATCTGTATTGCTCCTAAATCCCTATTGGATATTGCCAATTTATCTCAAATGCAACATTGATGGGTTAGTGGGAGCATTTTAGTGGGTTGTCGTGGGCGGTGACGGTTTGTATTATTTTCTCGTATCGATTTTCTGGGTTTTCGTCATGCGGCGGCGATGTATATAATCTGTTTACAGTACATCCGTAACTTTTATGCTGCTTGAATATAATAATTTTATATCAATTAATGGTACTTTAGGTCTATTTGTAAACGTGCATTCTAAAATTGTTTGTATAAGAAATACATCCGAGTCTTCCCATGACAAACCCCACACTAAAATAAAATGGACCCATATTAGCTTTTACTGACGACCTTATGAAGGCACTTAATGTGGGTAGGGGAGCAGCCACTGGTAGACCAAAAAAAATTTTAAACAAAATCAAAAATGAAACTATAAATCAATCTATAATATAATTATTTTCGATTTTGATGTCGGTTTTATTTTATTTTTTTATATCATACTTTTTAGTGAAAAATACATCATCCAAGTAAAAAATAAACAAAAATGCCCCTAAAATAAAAACGACTGGGTCAAACTAAATATTTTATTTATGGGACCAAACGGCAAGTCACATCGAATAGAAAAGAATCACTCAAATTAGATAGGTAATATTTACGTAATCGGTGTACATAAGAATAAAGTATCATGAAAATTATCCAAGTTACAAGAATGCAAAAAAGTAAAACTACTAGACCAATCTGGATTAAAGGACATTGCTCGTTCCCCATACATTGAATGCCGTAGAACGCACAGCAATGAGAAAATGCTAGTTGTGTTCGGAATCATTCGTCAACTCTAATTAGGCATTTATTGAGATACGGGCAACTTGAGGAACCGTGGTCTACTACACAATGTATTAGATTTTGCGGTTATTATTAATATACTTAATCGTAAAAGATGTACACACTTTATGTATTCTGAATAGATTTAGTTTTTACCTCTATGTAAGCACTTAAATAATATGCATTAAATGAACATAAAATGCAATTAATAATAAAAATAAATAAATGCTTATATTCATATTGATTTATGAGTGTTGGCAGTTGGCACCTATGAAACCTACCTGTTGTAATAATAGATTTATTTTCAAATGAAATGTTCAAAGTCTTTCCATTTACCTGTTTCTATATTTTATTATCGGTAATTAGGTAGGTATGTACCTGGTTATCATTATGATTTTCATAAAAATAAACAGATGTTATATGGGATGGGAGTATAAACTATCTTTACATAATTTCAGAAATAATCTTTTTATAAATATAATAAATAAATAAATACTAGTGATAAGTATTATTAACTAAGGTACCTAGTTCTATTCTTATGTTGATAAATACCTATGGTCGCCTATATTACATTTATAAAGGTAAACAATCTTGGCACAACTTTTTAACTAAATCACCCATTTAAAAATAAAAGAATAAAGAAGCCAATAAACTATTAAAATAAATCTTTATTGTACACTAAAACCTATTGAATCCAGTTATCAGTTGATTTTTAATGCTGTCTTTTCAATTAAAAGGAGTGCCAAGATTATTTACCAAATAGGACAAGTTAGGATGAATAGACTGTAGTATCTAGTAACAGAACTTTTATTTTTTTATTTCTTTAAACAGATTGTTCGTTTACAATGATTAATTGCTAATAAGTTAAAAATAATAGAAAAATAATAGTGAAGGACATTGTTTTGGGCATGCTGGGGCTGATTTCGTCGATGTCCTTTGCATGGAACCAAATAGCAACTATTTCACATCCATCAAAGAACGAATCACTTAAATCGGATCATAAATGTTGGAGTAATCGTTGTACATACATAAGAAAAAAACATACCGGATTAAGAATCTTCTTTTATTTGAAATCGGTTAAAATCCTCGGGGGCAAGTCTTTGTCCGTTAGTGAAGGTTGTAGTATTAACTGATATGCCTTTTTTAATGTAAAAAGTGTGGCAAACAGGCCTATGATTCACCTGATGGTAAGCGACTACCATAGCTGGTAGATCTTTACGATACCAGAGTACCACTCGCACGTTAGTCTACCCTGGCTGTATACCCTATCTTATTATGATGATGTGATGCATACTATGTCTGCCATCATGACAGCATTTGAATTCTTCCTCATCTAATTTACAGGTGGAAGCATGCAGTTCTCGACGCTATACGGCGTCATACAACGGGACCTGCCATATATTACACACGCAGGGGCCGTGTGGTGAAGGTGCCTGGCTCGTGAGGGATTCCTATCGGGTTCGGTGCCAGTGCAGGCCTGATAGTCCTTCAGAATGTACAGAAGATGAAGGAGCCAGTTGACGAAGCCAAATTTTATGAATATCTAAGTTGCTGTCAATTACAAATTGTTTATTAGAACGAAGCTAGTGTGTGTATGAAGACTGAAAAGAAACTATTTTATTTTATAGCGCGATTACACTTGGTCGTTAGCTCGAATACGAGTGCCAATGGAATTCGGATAAACGACTAAGTGTAAATGAACGGAGTCGATTTCGCATTCGGGTAGTTTTCGTTTTGGTTACCCGACATCGTCTTTCAGTCCGTATTCCAGTGTAAATATTGTTTCGGGTGCCCGAATTCGAATAATGTTTTTCATGCACACGAATATCGGCTAACGACCAAGTGTTATTGTGCCATGATGTAAAGACTATTTTGAAGTTTTCGAAGAGGCCAGTTGACGAAGTGAATGGATCTAAATTAATTATTGTCAGGTGGATACTGTCTTAACCCATATATGACCCTTGATTCGAAAAGAAACAGTACCCTTTTATGCCCGGAACTATTTTGGACTTCCAATTTTTGTAAATTTTGGGTATTTTAATGCTAATAAATATTTTTTTATTGAAATATTAACTACTATAATGAAGGTCATTGTTAGATAAGTATTTTTTTAATTGTTCGAAAACGAAACATCAGGTAATTCCCCTACATTAACTGTGGGTATATAAATAATAAATAAATTAAAGAAGTAATGCAATAAAAAGATTGGACTTTTCGATCGTATGGTCAGTATTACAATTTCGGATTGAAGGAAGAAATAGTTTTAAAAACGTGTAAATGTAGAAGTTGATGAACATTTTTTCGTTTTCGAATCAGGGAGCATTTCAATAGCCAAACCAAAAAATTTATATGGGCATAGATGGGTTAATGATTCATTTCCTACCCCTACCGTTGCATTAGGAAAGGTAAAATTATATCAACTAGAGTTTGTGCGGAAAGAGAATGGGCGTGGCGAAAAACGAAACTAACATTAAGATTTTTATTTGGCAATCCAACCCAGCCATCTGTAAAACTTCAAAGTTTTGTATTGATACGGATTTGTTTGTTGTGATTTCTTGCGGTTTTTGAAGTTATACTTCTTTAGGCGCGTTCTGAAAAAATGATGAGAGTGAAATTTTTAGATGCGCGCGCATCACTGTAACCCAAAAGTAACAGCATGAAGTTGGCCGCGGGCGCGTTATGAAAAAATCATGTGAGTGAAATTTAGAGATGCGCGCGCATCACTGTAACACAATAGTAACACCATGAAGTTGGCCGCGGGCGCGTTATGAATGTTAGTGTCTAATAATGGTGGATTATTAACCACATGTGGTTAAACGAAACATCAGGTAATTCCCCTACATTAACTGTGGGTATATAAATAATAAATAAATTAAAGAAGTAATGCAATAAAAAGATTGGACTTTTCGATCGTATGGTCAGTATTACAATTTCGGATTGAAGGAAGAAATAGTTTTAAAAACGTGTAAATGTAGAAGTTGATGAACATTTTTTCGTTTTCGAATCAGGGAGCATTTCAATAGCCAAACCAAAAAATTTATATGGGCATAGATGGGTTAATGATTCATTTCCTACCCCTACCGTTGCATTAGGAAAGGTAAAATTATATCAACTAGAGTTTGTGCGGAAAGAGAATGGGCGTGGCGAAAAACGAAACTAACATTAAGATTTTTATTTGGCAATCCAACCCAGCCACCTGTAAAACTTCAAAGTTTTGTATTGATACGGATTTGTTTGTTGTTGTGATTTCTTGCGGTTTTTGAAGTTATACTTCTTTAGGCGCGTTATGAAAAAATGATGAGAGTGAAATTTTTAGATGCGCGCGCATCACTGTAACCCAAAAGTAACAGCATGAAGTTGGCCGCGGGCGCGTTATGAAAAAATCATGTGAGTGAAATTTCGAGATGCGCGCTCATCACTGTAACACAATAGTAACACCATGAAGTTGGCCGCGGGCGCGTTATGAATGTTAGTGTCTAATAATGGTGGATTATTAACCACTTAGTGGTTAATAATCCACCATTATTAGACATCTGTTCGAAAGGCTCTTTGAACGATCCACGGAGCTCCATAAGATGATCGCGTTGTCAAAAACAATGTTGGCACGCTCGTCGCCTGTGATCACTGTTTTCATATTTATAATATTTATCCACATGTTTCTAGTTTCTATATAGACACAACGTGTTTTAGTTACTTACAAGTGCTAATTACATATGGACTAATAACATAAATTCAGTAGTGATTTTAATTGAATATTTTGAATATTTATTTAATTTTTCAAATTAAAACTGAACTTAATTGACTGTGTTAACTATCCTTTTCCAGTCCTTTTATTATTTTATTGTAATTATTAATTATTTGCATGCAATTAAAAAATATTTTTAATGATGCTAAAGAAGTATAACTTCTCACGCGCGTACATAAGTTACACGCATCCATTTTTTGTATTTAATCGTGTCTAAAAGGTAAAACCTTACAAATACGGTAGAAAAGCACTACAGTGCCCTCCAATCTAAATCCCACTCTCTTTCCGCACAGACTCTAACTAGAGCAACTTTTCGAAATTTCTAATTCATTGACTATGGATATTAAATCAACTCTAGCGCCATTGCTGTATTTGGCGAGTGGGTTTCGGTGTAATAAACCTGCAGTGGCGGACTAACAGGGGGGCGGAAGGGGCGGCCCGCCCCGGGCCTCCGATTTTGAGGGGCCCCAAATGCCTCCACGTTACCCTGATCAAATCCTAAACAAGACTTTAAAAATGTGCTTAGTACCTACATAATTTCATCAAGATCAAAACACTACAATAATGTAGACTTTTTACGCGGTACTAATGGTTTAAGAGCTGGCTACGAAAAAGTGAACTGATAAGGTGTAGTAACGAATTATATATATAACCTCTCCTTGGTAGCTTATAAGTATAGAGCGAATAACAAGATGCAGTTTTGGCTATTTATTGTTTTTATTATTTACACTGTTATTTCAATAAATATGCAAATAAGGTTAAGCGAGGGATACAAAAAAATATATAAAAACTGTGATGTCGAGTAATCGCTGACTTAGACGACAAACTTTAAAAAAATATATTCGTACTCAAAAAAAAAAAATTAAGCAAATAAATAATATGAAAAATGAAATAGAATCGATAAGTTTTGCCGAGAGCATTAAAAAATTTTTAATTTAATTTTAGTTTTTTGAATGTCAACATTTATTTTGCGCTATGTAGTTTCTCATAACATCCTACTTTACGATGCTTTAAACATGACAATAAAAACTATTAAGACCCAATTTTGTTCTTGCCTGATTTATTTATTTGTTTAGGCTTGGATGAGATTATATTATTCTCGCAAGCATAATAGGGAAGATGCATATATAATATTTATGAAAATTTTATGATTAAAATGTTAAAAAAATAATAAAGAAATGCCACTGCAACGTTTTTATTTTACATAATGTTGTCTTTTAACAATTATTACGAATTAAAAATACTTGAAACGGAACGTATATTAAAACACCAATCAGCGTTTAGTGACGTCACTCCTGTTATGACAACTTCTTTGAGGTTATGGTTATTGTTAAAGTTAATATTATTTTATGGGAATATTAATGGCGTTTTTTACATTAAATAAAAATGGAAGTTGCGTTTATCAAAGCAGACTCCAGGAATTTACCAAGAGTTAGCGTTGACATGGTTATAAATTTTTTTGTCCAAAGTGCAGAGTTTTTAAGTGTAGAAATGAAAGGGACTAAATTACTACGGGATGTAAAAATCGTAGTTGTTAAACTTCGTATTTTATTCAGCGGCTTCTACAAATCTTACGGCGATAATGCAATCGGCTATGTCCAAATTAAAAGAGATGGAAAATAATGTATAGTAAAAGGTCGAGTTCTCCGGAGCATAAAGTACGTAAAGAAGGTTATCGTGTTACAGTTATTTTAAATGAAACGCAAAGCTTGGTTCAGTCCTGCCAATGTGAAGATTGTGCTACACATTTTAAACTTTATCTAATTTTCGACGTCATTCTCCAACTGTAAAATTAAAAATATGTTATAGACAGGTTTTGTAAGTATTAGGTAGGTTACTAATGCGTTTTTACGTACAAGCAGATTAATTAAGCATATAACAAGTATAGTAACAAGTCTTTGGAGAATAATTGTCATTTCTCTTCGCAGCTTGAAACCACTTTTTTTCAGTTTTGGGTCAGAAGTTCCAGTCAAAAACAATTTATTTGGGAACTTTGTTGAAGTAGATTGGCACAAAACATGAGTCAGCACGGCTTTTTTTCGGAATATTAGTGGTATTGTTATGATCACATGATGTTGATGGATAAGTCCATTTTAAATTTTTCAAAAAAATATTTCGAAAGTCGAAAAATTATGCAAAAGTATGAAAATTTAAAGCCAGCGACAATCAAGTACGACCAGTGACAGACAGGAGTGACGTCATCGCAACCATAGGTTCGTTTTCGCGCGAAAATTTAAATTGTCAATTTAAAACCGCATTTTTTCCGATAAATCACAATGTTTTAATTTTTTAATATATCTGTGGTTTATTCTACATGGAATTCTTTAAAATGAAAACAAAAATAAAAATATTGCATCTTCCCTATTCTCCGAAACGATTTCAAAAGAGATAACAGCAGTGATAGACCAGGGTCGATAATTTTTGAGACCAAAAAAAATTATAGTAGGATGAAACCCATTAGAAAAGGTAGAGAATATAACAAAAATCAAAGGAAAAATAAATTACGGGCGATCTGAGGTCGGGAAGGGGGAGGGGGTGAGTTTTTAAGGGTAAAAAATGGTTAATCTCGATTTCCGGTAAAACTGCAAGTCCTATAAAAAAAAGTTAAATGGCAAAGTTGTAGGTAATAAAAAGATCTACAACTTTTGTATCGACACTTTTTTCACATAACCTCAAAATTTATGTGAAAAAAGCGAATATCCGAGTTTTTGGTTTTTATTTTTTGCAAAAAAAAAATATATATTTCCACGAAATTTGGTGAAAACTTACCTTTGCGTGTCCCAAACATACAGTAATTTTTTTGATTTAAAATATTCATTTTTTCACCTTATTTTGACTTAATATCGAAAAAGCACCCTTATTTTCAATCGAAAATTCTCACGTCAAAATATCTGCTTTTTTAAAAAAAGTTGGGGTGTTTTTTGTTTGTTGAAATCTCTACTTTCTGATGGTATAAAAAAAATATACACTACTATGGTAAATGTTCTCAGAAACTGCAAATTAATAATGAAAAAAACTCCAATCCGAAAAATTGATTTGAATCATTATGTATAATTTTGAACTATTTATTAAAATTTACACTTTAATTACTCAAAAAACGTAAGATTTCATGTTATATTGATAAACAGAAAAATTACAAATCCATAAAACATGCAAAAATAGTTGTTGTAAGTAGGTATTAAAAATAAGATTTTCGGATTCGAGTTTTTTTCATTATTAATTTGCATTTTCTGAGAACATTTATCATAGTAGTGTATATTTTTTTCTATACCATCAGAAAGTAGAGATTTCAACAAACAAAAAACACTCCAACTTTTTTAAAAAAGCAGATATTTTGACGTGAGAATTTTCGATTGGAAATTAGGGTGCTTTTTGGATATTAAGTCAAAAAAAGGTGAAAAAATGAATATTTTAAATCAAAAAAATTACTGTATGTTTGGGACATACAAAGGTAAGTTTTGACTAAATTTCGTGAAAAAAGATTATTTTTGCAAAAAATAAAAAGCAAAAACAAAAAACTCGGTTATTCGCATTTTTCACATAAATTTTGAGATTATGTGAAAAAAGTGTCGATACAAAAGTTGTAGATCTTTTTATTACCTACAACTTTGCCATTTAACTTTTTTTCATAAGACTTGCAGTTTTACCGGAAATCGAGATTAACCATTTTTACCCTTAAAAACTCACCCCCTCCCCCTTCCCGACCTCAGATCGCCCGTAATTTATTTTTCCTTTGATTTTTGTTATATTCTCTACCTTTTCTAATGGGTTTCATCCTACTATATTTTTTTTTCACTGTTCACCATTTTTAAAATTATCGACCCTGGTCTATGACTTATCATGCCAAATTCAAAGAGGACATAATATTGTTATTGTTGTCAAAAAAAAAACAAGATATAAACAAATAAATAATTATACTTCCTTATATAAATATACTTATCTTTTACTCCATCTAAGTTTGACTTTCTTAAAATGACAAAAAAATAAAAATGACCAAATGTGTATAAATTTATCTGAAATAAAAAAAAAAGGTTTTTATGATTCAGTAACTTCTTATCATAGAGTACCTGTAAACTCTCGGCAAAACTTATCGATTTTATTTTATTTTTCATATTATTTATTTATCATTTTTTTTTGAGTACGAATATTTTTTTTTAAAGTTTGTCGTCTAAGTCAGCGATTACTCGGCATCACAGTTTTTATATTTTTTTATCGCCCTCGCTTAACCTTTTGTCATAGCATATTTATTGAAATAACAGTGTAAATAATAAAAACTATAAATAGCCAAAACTGCATCTTGTTATTTAATTTTGAAACGTTCCTTTTCATCGCGATAGCCACTTCAGCAACTTCTGGCTATATCATAAATTTTTCTGTACTTAGCCATTATTTAGCCTTCTGACAATATATGTGCAGGTTCGGTAAGTTATAAATAATATAAAAATTCGATTGTCAGAACTGCACCTTGTTATTTTAACTCATAACTAGATTCGAAACGTTGCTTTCCGTCGCGATAGCTGCTTCAGCAACTTCTGACTATATCATCAATTTTTATGTACTTAGCCATTATTAAGACTTCTGACAATTTATATACAGGTTCGATAAGCAACAAATAATATAAAAATGCATTTGTCAGAACTACACCTTGTGCTTTAAATTTAAACAATTTCTTTACAACTTTGTCGACTTCTGACAGGCTTTAAGCCCGGCCTTAGACTTCAGACAATAATTTTCCTAGATTCCTTCAGTTAAAACTATAACTCTACCAAATTTCAGAGCTGCACCTTATCATTTTTTTCTTTTTGAAAATTACGATTTTGACTGCCCACCCACGCCTTCCGCCCCTGGAGAGAGTTCTGACGGGCGTCGCTCTATACTTATAAGCTACCAAGGAGAGGTTATATATATAATTCGTTACTACACCTTATCAGTTCACTTTTTCGTAGCCAGCTCTCCGGCTATAATATTTTTTTAACTTTGCTGAACGCGTCCAATACGCTGGGGGAATTCCCGTCTTAGTAGCGGGTACTCCCTCAGGAATCCCTGAATGAATGAAGTGCAAATAATTTACTCTTGTACGCATTCATTTACATTCACTACATTCTATTTAAGTCTAATAATATTTGCGGTCTCCAAAAATGACTCTGGATACAGGAATCACCAAACTAAACGCCTTGAATAAGTATTTGGTGGTTCATCAACATCAAGAAACCAGGAAAAGTGAAGGTAAAAAGAAGATGCCGGGTGAATCAGCTCATGATGCTGGATTATCAATTCAAGAAGAAATACGTCGGTCAATGTATGAATGCATAGACCGCTTTATACAAGAATTTTCCAATTGGACTATTAAACAAATCAAAAATATTTTCCAAATTATTGAAACAAAGTTTATGCTAAAGGCTTCAGATGACGCTTTGGCTGTAGCAGTTGACAATCTGATACAAAATTATGGTGAATTTGACAAGACTGGTTTTAACGAAATAAACATACGAATCTACATTTTTTTAAAGCTGGGGGCCTCATTCAGTTTTGCCGCGCCGGGCCTCTGACGGGCTTAGTCCGCCACTGTAAACCTGTAGGGCAGTCTCAAATTGTATAGAACAAAGCTGGTGTCTGAAGACTAAAAGCGACTGTAAGGCTCTATTTTTATGAACTTACTTTGAAATGTCTATCTATTTTGGTAAATAAAACTGTAAGCTAAAGTCCTGTTAGTATTAATTATTAATTAGGTTCTTATATAAACAGGAATGCTAAGAAGTAAACATGTATTTAGTAACCCAGCGTCTTAAGGTTTAGAGTTAGTGAATGATCTCTTGAGTGTAGAAACCGCATCTTTAAATTAGTTTAGTTATGTAAAGTAATGGAATGAAGTTGTAATTAGAACTGAGGTAATTTATATTTGAGTACTTCTAGAAGATTATAGTTTTTCAATTGAAAAGATACCTTTTTGTTCGGTAGCAATCAAAGCTGTACGCCCTTAGCACGAACCATTATAGAATTCGAAAAGTTTGCGAGTGCTAAATGTCAATGTCAAATTTTGTATTGAAACTTGAACAGCAGCGCCACAAAGTACGTAACGAGAACTAAAAATCAGTACACATTAAACAATGACATTTCGGACTCGCCAACGTTACGAATTCGATATTGGTTCGTGTTCAGGGTACGTTCATAAAAGCTATCGTTAAATGCCATGAAGTTATTACATTTGTCGTAAATTTGTTCATATTTATATTTATACTTAAACATAGAATTGTAGGTATTTTAGTATTGAAGAATGTAGATAACCGCTAAATTCTTGGCTTTAGCTGTAATCATGGAATCTAGTTTACCGATTTCTGTTATTAGCAGGAGTAACAACGGAAGTGGCTATGTTGTCGTTACTCGGTTCAATATCCAGCTCTAGTACGATTTAAACTCTATGATAGTTGTGAAGTTAGCAGCGAACGCAACTATGCACTGATTTCACAGTACACTGACATCTCACGCGCGCCTACATCGCATTAAATTTCGTGAACCGAGCCGTAACTTGCGCTAACTTCACAACAACCATTTTGAATCGCACTTTATGTTGTGATAAAGAAAGTACTCCACTGAGCTCCGTGAACAAAAGATATTCATTTTTTTAAGTAGATAATGTGCGATGCATCGAAATTTAAAGGTTGTTTGCTAACCGATCACAACTTTGCGCAAGTTTCAGTCCAGTGATATCCCGCGCGCGCCTTCCTCATTCTACATTTCAGTTACTACGCTGCGATTTACACTAACTTCACAAATACTTTTAAGTTTGAATCTTAATGTCATATAATTTGTATATATTAGAATAAAACGAGGTTCATAATTTACATTTTCGTTTATTTTCAACATCCTTATCAGCACCGTATTCATATAATTTTACTTTCATTAAACTCTTTACAAAATGTATGAATAGATAGGTAGGTCTTACTCGCGCCAATGATTAACCGAATGGCAACGCAAGTCATTTTATCCCTTTCGCATATTTATTATTTGACAGCTTGTGAAAGAGGCACAGAATATCTTGCATCTCCAGTTTCAATATTTTTATCTTGTTTTACGCGAGTTTCTATTAGTTTCCGAATACTTTACCAATACAACAGAGTTATATGCTCAAAATTTAAATTTGTTTTTATTAACAGAATAAGACTTTAAAAGTTCCACAAAACATTTGAAGTTGTTAAATCTACTTAGCTTTGAAATGATACAATATATAGCTGTTCGAGAAGTTTTAAGCAAATAGCATCTCATGTTTTTACATTCGATCTTAATAAGTCTTCCAACGGCTGTTAACAATACCATATCATCAAGAAAGTTTTTACATTTCGATAACTTAATAAAATAATTTTAGACAAATAAGCTCTAGCAAGCTTATTTCATATCATTGGAAAGGTATTGTTAATGGCGACAATGTAGAAATAAGTAAGTAACAATAGAGTTCTGTTGAGCATAAAAAAAAATAAACATATAAGTACCTATAGCAGTCGTTGTCATTGTATTGTATAAACAACTTAAATAACTTAAACCCTTACATCTATTGAGCTATGTTATCATCATCAAGTATAAAAATATCAAACTTGTGCACAGTTATGCGATTACAATACGTGATGTGTTCTTAAACCTAGTAACTTAACTATTTACAATATCTACTATCAACAGAATACTAAAAACGTCACTCTCGAAAAGCTAATTTTAATTAGTAAATGTATTTTAAAGTGAAATTATTTCTTTTATAGTATCTTTGTAAATGACCCACAACTGTTTGTGCAAGTGCAGTGCTTTACTAAGCAAAATGCAATAAGTTACAGTAAAAAATAAGTACATATTTTATATTTAATAGGTACTACTTGAAGTTATGCTGCTAAATGCCACACTCAGAGACGTTAATTCAATGAAATGCTTGGTAAAGTGATGTGTTATCTCAGTCTCATCTCTCTCTTCAAGCTCACAAAATAATCGAGATTGTCTCTCAGTGTGGCCGTTACTAACCAATATTAGATCAATGTCAAATAAATATTACACAAATGTCAATTCAATTTCAAATAAATATTACACAATGTCAATTCAATGTCAAATAAGTATTACACAAATGTCAAATAAATGTCAGAGTAATGTCAATCAAGTGTCAAAAACGTAGCAGTAACGTTTCAGTATTCGGGAGCGAATTTACTTAAAATCTATCTAGTCTTTGTTTGGTATCACTATGTCTCTATTTCTCCTTTAATTTTGTACCGGATTTACCTGAAACATAAAGAAACAAGCTTTAGCTGTTTTCTTAATTAAAACTTGTTGCGATAAGACGCTTTAGTGCAAACTTTTGAAATGCTTTTTTACTAGTAAGCTAGTAAATAAGTTATCTAGTAACTTTCTAGTCTAGCATTTAAAGTAACTGGTTTTTAATCGTACGCAGGAGAAGAATTTTTGTTTAGGTATTTCTTAACCCTCGAGTTGACTTGAATGAAAATTTTCAACTTGTTAATTGTTATTTATCTTTACAATGATATTTTTTGCTACTTTAATGTTAAAAATATTAACGACAGGTTGATACCTAATCAGTTGAAACAATTTCCGAATTGTTCTTGACTTTGAACTCTTATGGACATTTATCATTTCTTCAAAAAAAGTAAGCAGCTGGCGTATAAGTTTTGTCATTTCCACATGAATACACCAAAACAACTTAATGTTTTTATAATCCCGATAAAATACGTACAGCGTTTTTTTTTCTGTGATTTATATTCTTGTGTGTAATTGGAATTAGTGTTAAGCAGTAAGATCGCATTAGCCATGATATTGATACCGATGAATATTCTAAAGTGTGAATTTTTCCCATTGTTAAGATATTCTCGAACTGCATATTTTAAACTAATAAAGAGGAATCTTGTCTTACCGAAAAATATTCTGTGGACTTTGTTGAATGGCATCTCGATGGCGACGGTGGTAAATATCGAGATCACAAGAATGGTCAGCATCTCAGGCAGGTACACCTGAAAAGAGAGCTCTAGTTATAACAGTGTCAACAAAACCTAATGGGTGTAGGAATATTATTAAGATTTGAAGTAAGTAAATTTCGAGCTATTGAAAAAGTGTGTTTGGAAAGTTCTTCCGAGATGTTGGCTTAAGGTAAGAAGTTTCTTTAAATGTGCTGCAATTTTATGTTCTGTTACCTATGTTCAAATAATTAACGATTAAGTAGAAAGACGATTTGTTTGATGAAGTTATTGATGTACTGGGTTCTATTAAATGCGAGTTACCATTGTGCATGCGGCGAGATTATGATTTTTTAACGCCAGGCAAAAACAACGGTGGAAGCGTAATACTGCTCTACTGTGTGTATGTTATATCTTAATCTAACATCGGAATTTTCCTGGAGTTCATAATCGGTCTCTGAATTGTTCTTCCATAATTTTAATGGGAATAATATGAAATCACCGGAAATCGTAGTACAACGCTGGGAAGTGCCCTGTGTAGAAGTAGAACTAAGGATAGATACTTACAAGCAGCAGCGGCGAGTAATACTCCGCGTTCCTCTGAATACCGACGTTGTAGAAGAATATGGGAAACTGCGTGAGATACACGCCGTACCCTATCTTGTTGAAGAACTTGAACACTCGAGACTCCACAAACGAAGTGCCTATTCCTGGAAACCAATAACAAGAAAACTTACATTCTCACAATATAGAACATCAAATATCGTAAATGCATAACTCTTATTCATTTCGCGAAATTCATGTATTTGTAAGTTCAGAGATCTGCGGTACAGAATGCCAGGTACTCATAATTACAAAGAGCTCCTCACATCTTGCTAATGATAAGTTTAAGGCTATATTGGTGTGCCAAGCTTAGTGTGATACGATACAGCTACACGCATAATGATTGTCTTAGTGAACGTAGTCGTATCACTAAGGTGTGTCTTAAATACCTTGACTAATTTTGCTCTCCATAAATTTTACGGAACTATTTAATGCAATGCATACTATAGCAGTTGGTCTTAGGTTTCTTTTAAAAAGCACCTATCTTGTCCTTAAGCTTATCATCTATAGCGCAAATACATTGGTCGTTAGCCCGTATTAGGGTGCACGAAAGACATTACTCGAATATGGGCACCCGAAGCAATATTAACACTGGAATACGGGCTGGAAGATAGTGTCGGGAAAGGATATCTACCCTAATACGGGAGTACACGACTCCGTTCATTTACACTTAGTCGTTTACCCGAGTTCCAGTGGCAGTCGTATTCGAGCTAACGACCAAGTGTAATCGCGCCATTAAACTTAATGTTTTTTTACAGAATGACATAAGTAGTAATATCTAACTTGGGTCAAAACTGACTCGTAAAAGCAAACAAATAAAGGACAATGTTAAAATTGGCCTAAGAACCAACACCAATTTGGCATTTATGATAATTCTTAGTATATTTTTTGCGATAATTATCAGTATTTAGGTTGTGACGGACACTTCCAGTTATACTTAACTGGAAGTGTCCGTCACAATCTGCTAAATTAAAAAGTTAAAAAATAATCTGAGACAATAAATACCATTTTATGTGTATAATCTATGGCAGCGCTGCAAACAAAACACTCTTTCTTCCTAATGCCTGCATTTCACTTGGCTATTCGTATTTTCTATTTTAAAACATGACATCAGTCTGTCCTTTTCATTCCTTATTAAGCATGACAAGGACAAACTTTTGTCAAGTGAAGGGCCAGCATAAAACTTGTTACTCTGTGGTTGTGGTGCATGCAGTTTCATAGTAACCTGTGGCATTCGTGCATTCCAAAGGGTACGGCCACAGTGCACTGAGATTCAGAATCAGATTCAGACTCAGAAAACAAGCGCAAGAAATAAACAGTGTAGTATAAGCAGGTTGCTTGCTGCCACTATGGCCACCCTGCTACAACTACACTGTTTATTTTTCGCGCTTGTTTTCTGAGTCTGAATTTGAGTGCACTGTGGCCGTATCCAAAGAGTAGTTTATTATACCGGAAAGTTTTTCAATTTCAATTCAATCAATTTGCGATTGTTTTCCCTTTAATTTAACTATTTCGGCTATCTAATATGCCATCGATGTTACCAAAGAGCAGAGCCCTTATTACCAAGTGCTAGTGAACCTGTGCCACAACATCCTGAGAGGATCATACTACCAAATTATTCAAGAACAATTCAACAAACTAATACACATTCACGCTGCATATTTACACAATATACATGTGATATACAAATAAATACAATAAACAATATGATACAATTATGTGAAAAATAGTCAATAAATAAGAAGCAAAACTACAGATTTTATTTTATTCATGATTCCTACCTAACCAAGTTTTTCCTAATAGTTATTCTTTCAAATCGCACCGAATAAAATGAATTAGTTGTAATATCAATTCACTTCATACTGAGTTCATACTAAATTCATAGGTTCATAGGTTTCATTGAATATTAAACATAACTTCAAAAAAATTTTAGTTTTCCTAATAATTTAAGTTCTCAGAAGTGTCCGTCAATCATAGTTGTTTTTACAGTCATTTACTTACCATTTTTAAACTAGAAAATAATATTTCATGATTGTTGGTTCTTAGGCTAACTATGTATGGACGCTGAACAATGTCCTTTCTTATAAATCGAATCCAGATTGGGGCTCAGTAAGCTGCTTAGTAGAATTTGGTGCGCAAATTTTCTTTAAATAAAATATTAAGTCCATAAAAAGACTGGTTACCTGTGTAGTCGTTGCTGATAGCCCAGTGAGAGAGGCACATGAACACACCCCATACTATGGGAGAAAATGCGGCGAACATTGCAGCAGGACCGTGTTCGTACTTGTATCCTTCCAGGCCCATCTTGTACGGGCTTATTATCGTGAAGGCGGCCAGGGCGAAGCAGATGGCCCACATCACCCTCACTTGGGTCTACAAGTTGGAAATAATGTAAAGGTTATTTATGTCTTTTTAATTTTTGTGTGTCTGTCTTGTTTCATACAGGCATTTTACTAAAATATGTCAAATCGTCATCTATTAATATCCCCATTGTTAGGGTACAGGGCTTCCTTATACATGGCATAGGGAGATTGGGCCTTGAACCACCACGCGGACCCAGTGCGGATTGGTGGTTACTAACGACTACAGATGTAGCCGGGATCAATGGCTTAACGTGCCTTCCGAAGCTCGAAGTTCGAGATAATAAGTTCTAATAGGACCATGCTTACACTTGTATCTTTCCAGGCCCTTCTTGTACAACCTTTTAACAAAATCACCCATTTAAAAATAAAATATTAACGATGTTAATAAACTATTAAAATAAATCGTTATTATAGACTGAAACCTATTGAATCCAGTTATCAGTTGATTTTTAATGCTGTATTTTCAATAAAAAGGAGTGCCAAGATTCTTTGCCAAATAGGACTAGTTGTATGAACAGACTGTAGTATCTGGTAACAGAACTTATATTTTTTATTTTTTATAAAAAGATTGTCCGTTTACTATGATTAATTGCTAATAAGTTAAAAAAAATATAGAAAAATAATAGTGTTATATATTTACTTTAATGGTTTGTCTTTGCTTTATGAACGCTCTATCGTTATGTTAAAAAAGTACTACGGATTGTTAAATAAATGGAGTTAGGCTTTTTTTTAACATTGCTATTCTGTAAGAACAGAAAAGCACGGCTGATGTTCTTTCAGTGGTGTCAGAGTCCAGACGCAATGATAGTTGATGCAGCAGTTTGGAACTACTACCTACTACCCCAGCCATGCAAACCATCCACAAATACAAAAAAAACAAATTTTGAAGATACAATAAAATACTTTTAATACCAGCTATGATTTTTTACGTATTTTACTGATAGTTGATTTTCCGAAGGTGTTTCTATAGAAGTAAATAAAATATGATCTAGTGTTTAGTATGCACATGAAGGTGCAGACGCAATGGTAGTTAATCAGCCGAGGGCACTAAGTAATCATCGGTGGTGTTGCATACAAAGCGAAGTCAGCCGATGGTAATGAATAAGAAATACTTCAGAGCAACGAAGTACTACATGATAAATAGCATCACTTGAGAGGCTTGTTTGATCAGCGTTTCTATAATAATTACTTAATAGGCTTTTTAATAGTAAATTTTTTCAATGACCGGTCATTGGATAAGGGATTAATTATTTATTTTCTGGAGCTCCTCTGTGTTTTGGAAGGCACGGCAATATTGTCTTGGCTGCAATTGTAGCTGTATTTATAATTTATCTATACTTATAATAAATCTGTAGAGAGGTCAATTCTGTACATGAAATATATTTTCAAAATAACTATCAGGGGGTGATAAGTGATCGATACTGATGCCAAAAATGCAATCAGTAAAATTTTTGTCTGTCTGTCTGTGTGTATGTTCCTTATAGAAACAAAAACTACTCGACGGATTTTAACGAAACTTGGTACAATTATTCTTCATACTCCTGGGCAGGTTATAGTATACTTTTCATCACGCTACAATCAATAGGAGCAGAGTAGTGAAGGGAAATGTTGGGAAAACGGGAGAAGTTACTCCATTTTTTAAGCTTCCGTCGCGTGTGGAGCCTTAATGGTTAAAGTTACATAGAAATCATGTATGACGGAAATATTTTACATAAAATTGTCTAAAAAGCATCCCGCACAATAACACGTGTAACTCCTGATAGCTTAGCAGTTCGGAGCATTCTGATTATATTTGTTTACTTTTACGTTTATAATACTCTCACTCATCCCTAATTTAAAAAAGTTAACATTATTACCTATTCAATAAAAAAAGAATCATAGAAATCGGTATAGAAACACCAAACTTATACATGAAATAAGCCATCGCGCCGTCGCACGTGAATACTGAATTATGCTTTAAGGATTATTTTTGTGTAACGGCTGCCGCGGTCGACACGGGTCGTGGCGGCGCGGTAGGGTATAAAAAGGCGGGAGGTCCGAAAGCGAGCTTCCCCGCCCCCCCGATCCTGAGAGACCTTCATTCGCTCAGTCCCAAACCGATACGGATGCACATCAGGGTGCATCCGTCCTCTAAGCGCACTATGCAGTAGTATTTACTAAGGCAGCGCTGCATCATCCCCTTCTCAGGGGTTGATCGCATCAGATGAAGCCTGTAAGGCCCCTAAGGCCATAGGCACCCCCCACGGGTGTGTTTTAGTCAGTAAGAGTCTGACATAACTCTACAGCCGGCTGTAGGGTATCCGTGAGGATTTCACACCCGCTTCCCCGCTTGGGAGGAAACAAAAAAAAAAGAAAGCGAGCTTCATTCAATATTTGGGTGTTGATGCGTTCAGAGCGTTCGACCTTATTGACAGACAATAATTGATATTGAGAAACCGTGCTTATCTTAGAATAAAAACCAAACATTTGTAAACAAAATTAGCAAATAAATCATGTAAAACGTGTAGGAAATGAGTACTGGAAAACGGAAATATGAGAATTTTAGTTTGGTTATAAATACAGGTAATAAAAATGACCGTCATTATCTATATATGTATATAAAAGTCAAAGGTGACTGACTGACATAGTGATTTATCAACACACAGCCCAAACTACTGGACGGATCGGGCTGAAATTTGGCATGCAGGTAGATGTTATGACGTAGGCATCCGCTAAGAAAGGACTTTGATCAATTCTACCCCCAAGGGGATAAAATAGGTAATGAAAGTTTGTATGAAACTTTGTCAATTTTAACCCGATTGGGCTGAGACTTTGTATGCAGGTATAAGAAGAATCATAGATGAATGTCATTGTGTATAATACAAGCCTGACAACAAAAACTGTAGTTAACACACACCGAAACACCGAAGCGAAGCGAGGGCGGACCGCTAGTATATAATATATGTCTGTACTCAGGGCCGTCTTCAACCTATTATAGGCCCTGTGCATATTAGGATAATGGGGCATCCTATGAATTTGATGTGGATTGTGACTTGAAATGGAGCGAGTCATACTGATGAGTGTACTACTGATAATTTTTCTTTAAAATGTGTATGTGCTTAGTATATCATTATATGTAATTTTTGGGCGAGAGTTATGTAAAAGCTAGTAAGTTGGTATTGTAGTCAGTAATTGAGGTTCGATTTCATCGTTTTTTGGTAATAAATATTGATTATCATTTGGTGATTTGACAGGAACTAGGGACTTTGAATTTGATCTGAGGGAGTGCCAGAGATCAATCGAGCGATCGATAGCCGCAGGGCCCAAAGTGCCCACTGGGCACCTCTTTACCAATAAAGAAAATGTCATTAGAGATCTCAATGATCGGAGCTTATGATGTTGGCTTTTATTATTATTTCTGGCTTTTAATATTTGTTAAAATAAAGATTCCCTTTTTTGACAAACTTTGATTTATATTTATATTTTATACATTTTTTTGGCTGTGTGCGCGGTCAGTGTGTTATAACAAAAATGAATCCTCAACAACTTGGCATAGATTAATGCAAGTAATTCTAACAAAAATCCACTAGGTTTCGAACCCAGGACCTTAAGAGTAGAAATAATAACGTCGCATCGAGATTCCAGCGTTGATTGTATGTCGCACAGAATATTTACTTACATTACTCAATTGGATTTTAAGTTTCTTAGTCCTCATGAAATATGCCATCATCACTCCTATAAGATAAATGGTAGCTCGGTGCGTAGGCAATATGTAAGAAAATTTAGCTGCATCCATAAGCTTTTGTACTCTGAAACAATAGGCAAATATATTTATCTAAATATTCATATAAAATAAACAAGAATTCATTTATTTAAGTGAATTCACGTCATCCTTTTATGTGGGTACATTTGTTATTCAGGATCTCAAGTGTATGTATTTTGTTGTATATTGTTTAATAGTTGTAAATATCGTGTTGTTTAACTTGATAATTTTTCTTCAAGTAATCGTAACTAAGTATTCCTTGGACATTGAGACTATAATAATAAATAGCTATTCTATAATACTTTGTGACATATTTATAAAGCCTTCACTTAAAAATTCTAACGTGAGATGAACACGTGACATGACAACACAAAAGGAAAATACTTAGTTTCCAACTGTACTACGGGCAATAAACGTAGATTTCATGCATCGAACTGGCTCAAGATGGTTGAAACGATATGGACAATTTACAGCATGATTACAAGACACTATTGATCTACCACTTTAATGGTAAACCAAACACATGATAATTAAATTCATTAAGCTTAGATACGTAGGTTAAAATAGACGCAAGGAGTGACAAGATGGGCGAAGTAAAGTAATAAAAGAATAACAGAACTTATGGCATATTTTTATAAAGTATAGAAGAGAAAATAAACATAATACAAAGAAAATAGAAACGTTAATATAAGATTAAGAAATGCTGCTGTTGAGATGATGACTAATCTTAAAGTATGGAAGAAGACATAGGTATTTTTTCTAATTATTATCCATAATTATCCAAATTAAATAAATAAGGGAATTTAAGAAAATGTCATACGATAAACTACTATCGAGATGATGATGATGACAACGGAAATACTTACGAGATACTGAAGTAAACAAACATGCTGATGTCGTACCAGTGTATGGCCAGGTACCGTAGCAGAGTAGAGGCCACGGCCACCGACACCATCAGGATCACTATCAGTACAAGTGCTTCACTTCCACTGATAGTGATAAAGTCCCGCAGACGTTATAGTTGGATTTTAAAGTTTTAGAAGCAATAATAAAAAGAATAAAAAGTAAACAACGAACATTAATATGAGAATAACAGATAGTATTTAATAGATAGATATTTAATAGAATAGATAGAAAAGCGGTTGTTAAGATGATGATTGATAGAAAAGTATGGAAGAAGACGTATTTTAGCAGAGTCAAAGTAATATCCATATTCAAATTTAATAATAAGGGAATTTAAGAAGATGTCAGAAGATAAGCTACTATCGAGATGAAGACATCTGGCAAGAACCATCAAATTTAACATTCATATCAACAGAAATACTTACGAGATTCCGAAGTAGACAAACATGCTGATGTCGTACCAGTGTATGGCCAGGTACCGCAGCAGGGTAGAAGCCACGGCCACCGACACCATCAGGGTCAGGCCTAGGTTCCTCCAGCGGGATAGAATCACCATCAGTGGAAGCGTGGCGATGTACAGCTGCATGTCCATACCGATCTGATGTGTGTGCGTCAAACACTGAGGGTTACAAAAACGAAGTTTCATTATCAACAATCGGATTAAAAACACGATCAAACAGTTTTATTTATGCAAATCACAGTAGCTTATTCTGTATGTACCTATATTCTTTCCCACCTGAAATTAAGGTTTACAGGCGTACAGTCATGAGTAAAGAAATAGTGCAGTTGCGAAAATAAGTAGCAGATGCGGCAAAAACGTAGCACATTTTAACGAAAATTTATTTTAAATAATATTGTATTGGAACGAGTGTGGCATCTATATTCATCTAACCCATTTTTGTCTATGCCATGGTATTTTTATGTGTTAACTATTTGATTTGCTCATTAGCATTTAATGGTTATTCGACGATTTTATTAATAATTTTCATATGCAAACATTTTGATTGTATAAAAATGATATTTTTTTAAGATTGATTATTTTGCGTATTTCACGAGTATCATATAAATTGTATCCTAATTACGTCAATCTTTATGATAGTAATGAGCAAAGTAGATGAAATGAAGCGATATACTCTAAAGTTATATACGGTTACGTGGGAGACTGTTGCCGATCGCCATTGTTCTGTGTAAATCAGATCACTAGGAAAATAGAACGAAAACAAGTTCACTCTTAAGAACTTATTATTTCGTGATCGCTTATTACCTATGTGTAAGTATGATTGTAAGAATACCAATGTTTGTGAATAAGATGTTAAGTCTTATATTGGGTAATAGTTTTTTTTATAGAACATCAAAGACTGCCTTAGCTGCTAACATCCCTGTGTAAAATTATACAAGTTCGTTTTCTATTGTTCTGGAGTCTAAAACAAACCCTTACAGTTATGCTATGCCGTCTCTCCGCAGTTGATGTCGGAGACTTACTGAAATGGGACTGTCTCTGGGATTTCGGACTATTGTTTTCCCTGAAGGCCCCCCATCAGGATTTCTATAGTACTGATGTCTCCCCTAGGTTGGGGATATCGCTGAGTCTGACATCGTTTCTGGATATGTTAAAAAACATGGATCTTTTACCATAGGTATTGGAGTTAAATTGAAAATTATCATATATAAGTTTAAACAGACAGAGAAGTAAAACAATTACTTAAAATGTGGTGAGTTCTGTAAAAACAGTAGAAAATATTAATTAATTGAATTTGAAAATATAAGCAATATAATGGAAATAGTAGTTTTTTTTATATTTATTTATTTTATTTATCTTGCATTCTGGCGCACCTTTACGCTCTGTCATCCTCGCAATGTGTTGATTACATATTTTTATAAAAATGAGGAAATGGTCATTAGTTCCGTTATCCTGCGAATTAATATTGGGGAGAAGTCTGCATAATGGAATCATGAGTTTTAATGAAGTTCGGAACACGCACAGTATTTCATTAAAAGGACATTTACAGAAGTGAAATTGTGTTTGTGTTTACTTGTTTTCTTATACAAACAAGTCATTCCTTATTTATTTGCTTCGTTGAAATATACGGAAAGGAATGGGAAATAGTAATTCCTATGAGACTACATAGCATTTTGTTTCCATTTCGGTAATAGTGAGCAAGTAAAAATACGAAATGAAAGCTTCTGATGTCGAAGATGGCTATACTAGTGGGTGCACTAAATTTCTAGAATTTAGTATGCGTGGAAATATTGGTTTCCCATACAAACATTGAAGCCACGTTTTACCCTTATCCTTCATCGTTATAGCTATGTGTGTGCGCTTTTCATCGCAATCCGTTCAGTGGTTTGAGATGTGCGTTGATAGATTAGTCAGCCCAGAAACTAGATCAACACTATTTTGATTCAGTTTTCCACCTTTATACCCATTAACGATTGCAACGATTAATATACCCCGGTCTGCGTAAATGGCAGATTTCGCGGAGAAGAACCCCTGTGGAGATGGCAGATTTCTGCCAAGAGTTGCGTAAATTATTTTCATATTTTGCGTTTTTTTAATTTACAGTTATTATACAGATAAGTTTGTAGAGAATCTATTCAGAATTGATTTAAGACATAAATGAAGCCTGGATGTACAGTAAAACTCGTGTAATAAGATGAGAATCGGCCGGAAAATAAAACCAAAATGAAGGGCTAACACAGACAGGGTTTTGAGCGCCATATTGCTTTGGTACACCTTTCAGGGCAAGAGAACAGTAAGCCTATCAATTTATTGACATTAAAAAAACTCTTCAAAATAATAGGGAAATCCTTAGTAGTATAGAAAATATTTCATTTTTTTAGATTGAAGTTACATCAATACATAATGTATGATTAGAATTCACCGGAAGAAGTATAAAAGTTACCGTTTTCAGGGATATCTACAAGATTTTGTATGAAACTAGTAGGTATATGACTTTGTTTCTTGGGTAAAAGAGGGGTAAGAAGCTCTAATTCCCGTGTACTATAAGGTATTTCATACGCTTGTTTCTTCGTTTTCATGAAAAACAAACTATATTAATACACAAAAGAACAAAACGGTTGGTATGCTTAAAATCACTTTGAACACAAAGGTAATGGCGCATGGCGGCGGTTCCACGTATTATTGATATTCTCTATGTACCTATTCTAAATTCGAATCACGATATCTCCTTACAACCACTCTGAATACATAATACTTGTGTAGGTATTGAATTTAGTTATATACTAGCTTTACGTCATATATCTCGTCAAGACGGCAAAGCATCAAACCAATGCATTAAAGCTACGCATTGACGATTTTTTTTTTTTTTTTTTTTAAACTCGTTTATTTATTACATTTTACATTTTAAGGTGCTGAATATAACATAATTGTAATATTACAATATATATAAGGGATTCGATATTTGTTAGAGTAGCCCCATCAGAATCCGAGGCCGCGTCGAGATGCAGCCAGGGAGGTCGAATGGGTGGGAAAGACAGGGAGAGGAGAGGACGGTTTAATAATAGTGAGAGGCGAAAGAATAGGAGAGGAAAGGAAACGAAACAGAAAATACATAACAGGTTTAAAGGATGGGAGTAAGAGTGTAAGGGTTTAACAATCTTGCATGATATACAGGCATTGACAAAATATATTCAATAATATTAAGTGTCTCACAGACAGACGCCACCCGCGGCCGCGGCCGGGGTCGTGATGGTTACAGAAATACACATAGGACGCATTAACGATTGACCAGTTACAATAATCAAATTACACATATTATACAGTAAGAGCGGCTATACACGGACTGCTTGAGCAACTGCTCGATCTCTGGCAAACTAGCCAGTGATCAACATACATGTATTGCTCGAGCAGTCAGAGTTAACAGCTTGAAGCTGCCTTTGATAACTGCTCGAGCTGCCCTTAGCACGAACCAATATCGAATTCGTAACGTTTTCGAGTACGAAATGTCATTGTCAAATGTGTACTGATTTTTAGTTCTCCTCACGTCCATTATGGCGCTGCTGTTCAAGTTTCCATACAAAATTTGGCAATGACATTTCCGACTTGCAAACTATTCGAATTCGATACTGGTACAGTAGCCTTAGCAGGAACCAAAATCGAATTCGTAACGTTTGCGAGTCCGAAATGTCATTGTCAAATGTGTACTGATTTTTTGGTTCTCGTTACGTACTTTGTGCCGCTGCTGTTCAAGTTTCCATACAAAATACATTGACATTTCGGTTTGCAAACTGTTCGAATTCGATAATGGTTCGTGCTAGGGGTACTGTTCATACCAACCGCTGGAGCAGTCGCAACTGCTCTAGCGTTCCGTGTATGTGTGGATGTAGAAGACTACAGTTCACTATGCAGTCGCAGCATGAAGCTGTCTATCCCTTCTGCTCCAAGTTGCCGGCTCTAAGAGAAAGGCTTTGCGGGGCTTGTAATTATATTAAAATAACAATCATGCCTAGGAAACACGACCAGAATAAGCTTATCTGTTACTCAAAGGATTTATATTAAATTTAAAACGATATAAATTCCTTGATTTGACTCAATCAATGCTTTTAGATTTTTTTATAGTAAGCGATTACCAGAGCTTTAAGACGCCTGCGACATCAAAATTTTAAATTATCAACAAAGCTTTAAATGTGCATTAAAAATATGTATATACGCATATATATATATATTATTTAAACAGCAGGATAAATTCTTGCCAAAACTCTTTATGATCGCCGAACGACATGTTATTATACTCGTTTAGTCGTTCGTGATACAAATAACACAACTGCAGGCCAATTATGCTCGCTAATTGTGATATTGTTTTGATGTCAATTTCACATTACGCATTATGCTCTCCGAAAAATGCGATATCAAAATGACATCAACTTTAAAATGATATCAACTTAAATGCGTATTACGTTCAACTTTTTGACATAAAACAGTATCGCATAAACGTCAAAAATGTGATACAGACTTAACAAGTTAGGAGGTGGTTTTTCTGTATCAAATTCCTTTATTTTTTAATAAAAAAGAGTAAAATGGCTCGTTTCGTGTTAGTAATGGACTATTTAGAACGTGCTCATGCCGAGGACATGCGTAGAAGAGATAAACCCCTTGTAGAAGAGATACAATTAGCTCTTTATGTTCGCTAATTGTGATATTGTTTTGATGTCAATTTCACATTACGTATTATGCTCTCCGAAAAATGCGATATCAAAATGACATCAAATTAAGCGTATTATGATCATCTCTTTAAAATGATATTAACTTGATATCAACTTAAATGCGTATTATGTTCAACTTTTTGACTTAAAACACTATCGCATAAACGTCAAAAAAGTGATATAGACGTGATACAGAATTAACAAGTTAAGAGGTGGTTCTGCGTGCACGCACTACAAATGACTGACAAGTTCACCGATAAATCTGTGAAAGCACACACACGTACGGATTTGTACGGCGTGGCTGGGGTGCGGCGCGGCGCTCGCGTCTCTTGACGGCGAGTGCCGCGCCGAGCCGCGAGCCGCGCTCACCAATACATTCACACGCGGATTTGTCCGCGGACTTGTCGTCAGCGACAAATCCGGCGGATGGGCGCGCCTGTGAATGGTAGCCTTTAGGGTTGTTTGTATTTTTTAGTGCCACATTATAAAAAAATTAAAATTAAAAATATTGTCCAAAACAAAAACAAATAGGGGTGAACTACCCTTATCACTTAGGGATATAAAAATATATAGAAGCCGATTTACAGAGTTACTGAATATGCATATAAAATTTTATAAAAATCGGTCAAGCAATTTCGGAGGAGTATGGTAACTAAAATTGTGACAAGAGAATTTTATATATGAAAATTGCTATATTAAAGCTAAACTTGCTATGTTAAAATATTGAAAATATTTATTAATATAAGCATATTTAGAAGGTTTCTAATAAGCATATCGAAAGAAGACAAATTTCTTGAATAAAGATCGACAATATATTTACATTAGTCATATTAGATATTATCGACTTATTGAGAGCTCTTTTGTACCCATCATTATTGTATTCATTCCCATTCATATGCTTGTTAAATAATATGAAGGATATTATGTTATAAATATACTTACTAGCTTTAATTATTTTCGATAAGTAATATGAAGAAAAGAAGATTACAGGCGTATAAAATAATTTGTTCATGAAATCTGTAATTGTTATTCTTTGTACTTTTTAAGGGGGAAAAAGGGTACACAGCTTAGTAAAAGACGTGACTTAAATATTATTGTTATAGAATCGGTCACCATTAGACAGATCATAGCCTTGTTTTGCAACCTTTTAACACAGAAATAAATGGATAAAAAAAAAAAACACTATTGTACTACGGAAATGTTAAAAACAAGTTAAAAAAAAAAGTATTTTTTCTTTATTATTTCACTGATACTGTTCACTGTTAGGTAGAACACGTTTCAATATAAGGGGGTTCCTAATTTTCACAAAAAATCAAAGCTTGTCGCACTTGGCATGATATAAGAATTCTAACGATACTGTATACATCCAAAAGAAGTTTTGGTGGATAACAGGAAATTTAAAATTTGAAAATATTCCACTCTTATTTGGTTGAAAAAAGTCGTTGGTTGGTTGGTCGTGTGAAAACAGCAACATAAATTTTGAAATCCGTACAATCTATTTTGTCATTGTTGTGAAAAAGGCGTAAGTCATAACTCACCATTTCTTCGAATCCGAAGTAGTTGTGTATGAAGAGGAAGCTCCTCCACATGGTCTTCTCGCAGACCCGGCTGTGCTCCTCCACCACGAGGTTCCACTGCGGCCCGTTGTTGATGTCCGGCAAGATGTACGTGCAGAAAAGCATCAGACTCAGAAACAGTGGGAACAGTCTGCAACGTGAACAAGTTAGGCAAAAGTTAAAAAGTGGGTATGTCAGGATTTACCTTTTACATATTACATTATAGATTTGCCAAACTTCAGCCCAAAGTATACTCAAGAGATAATGAGCTCAAAAGCGAATTAGTTAGCGCATCGTGTGATCATGGAAGATCAGCACAATGGATGGGTGACCAAAAATTTATTAAGTCGAGATTCTCCGTTTTTTTTTTCAGTGTATATTCTGTTAGTCGCACATGACCTTTACAGCATCACCGGGTTCGGGGACGGTGAAATCTTAAGGGGACCTCAAGCCGAGAATTGGTGAGTGCCTCTAGAGCTATTCCCTTTGGATGGCATCTCCCCACGGGGGGAGTCTCCTCTCCGTCTGGAGCCTCTAGACCACTCGAACCTGAGGGGGTCGGTTCAACTAGAGGGCGTTTTTGAGACTCAAACCTCGGCTCTAGTTAGCCATTGTCGTGGGGGGAGGGGAAAAGCTTCTCCGTGCTTAGGAAGGCATGTTAAGCCGTTGGTCTCGGTTGCATGTTCAGTCGTTAGCACCCACCAATTCGCAGTTTACCCGTGTGGAGAGTCATGCTGAGGCATTTCCCTAATTCATCATGAGGTAAGGCTTGTGCTTTAACAGTGGGGACAATTATAAAATTAGATTGATGATAATGATTAAGAGAATTATGGCACGAGTATACATAGTGGCTTTGATAATTAATTTATTCCTGTGGTGTATCTATATTTCTGAACGTGATAAGATTACTTAAATACTGTCATTTACCTGAACCATCTGGCAACGAGTCTGTTCTTAACATCGATGGTACCCTTCTTTTCAATATCCTGCATGAGGTTGTTAGCATTTAAGAACCCACTGATGTACAAGAAACTATCCGTGTACAATATGGCTGATCGGCCGACGACAGCCCACGGCATCCCGAATACCTGAGAACGAGACAAACAATGATGCATGTCAATTATGATCAGTATTGCTACGTTTTTGGTCCTCATCTTGGTGATATTATGGATAGATTTACTGATTTACATGGCTTTGCAATGTTAGCCCCTGAATTCAGCATCAGCATTATTAATATAAATGTACTGTTGTTGCGAGCTAAGTATTTATAATAGACAGAATTTGTTATGAAAAGTTGTAGTTCAGTTTTCATAACTAATTCTGGCTATTATAAAGACTAAGATGGCAGCAACAGTACATTTATATTAATAATGCCTGGGAAAGTTATTTCAAATTCACCGCCAGGACAGGAAGGAATAGCAAAAAGCCAATAAGATTATTCACTTACAACCTCTGTTTTTCTTATAAAATTTTCTTCAGGTAGTTTATGGATTAAAATAAAGCGCTCGGCTGAGTACTCGGTGCTAGGGATGTCGAAAGTTGAAAAATATATCGATATATCGATACATCGATAATTTAAAAAATATCAATATCGGCTTCGATATATCGCGAAAAAAACATCGATATATCGATATATCGGCCAATTTTCCCAAAAATATTTAAGTCAGCCTAGCACAGTAATAATAGTTCAATACAAATTATAATTAAAGAAAGAATTATCAAAGTACCAAATTAACTACATGACAGCACAGTATCTCACGAAATATGACACGCGGAAAAATAATGGAACGAAAATTATCTCCCTAAAAATAGACCCTATTTTCGAATGATGAAAATGATTGCAGGGCCTCTCAGCTGCCATCTTTCGTAAACAAGACTAGACCTTCACACTCTTCCACAGAATATAATGAAAATCGGCACAACCAATTCAGCAGCGAAACAGATTTACAAATAATAGACAATACTAAATACAGTACATCATAGATATGTTGAATATCATTAATCTGAGATCCAGTTACGATTTTTCCAGATACAAATTTAGTTAGATTGTGATATGCCGCTAATAATTAAAAAAATATTGTTTTTGATACGAATTTCGATATTGGTTATTTTGTATCGATGTATCGATATATCGAATCAAAATATATCGGCAAAAATATCGATATATCGAACAAAAATATCGATATATCGATACATCGATATATTTTCAACAAGCCTACTCGGCGCTATTTTTATACGTACCAAGTATTAGGCAGAGAGCACTATCTCGCTCGTTTACTCGGTACGCGTGATCAAGGTATAACATTCAGGTACTAGGAGAAATTCGACACGCTCGTGGGAGTGTGTAGAGCACAGTTAAAAACTAAAGTTTAGCTCGGTGGTGATCATGTTTCGAAATCTAAACCAAGTCTGCAGCATTGCGATCAATCCATCGCCCATAGAGCGAAGGATGCTGGGGTGGTGCCAGCGTGATACTCGGACCGAGTTGATTTATCTAAACAGATTGTCCGAGTTCACCTATCATTTTATAAGAAACAATATAACAATGCATACCTGTTTCATGTAAGACACTTAAACAAGTAAGATGGCTACATACTTTTGTTTATTTTTCATCCAAAGATTGACTTTACTATTTTTGTAAAGGACACTGAAGTTTTTAAGTGTTCTTCGAAGGTTACATGAAAGGCGAAGACAACAAATAATTAAATATATTTAGCTTTTATAGCTTGTTTTTATATTAGAAAATAAAGGTTATCTAAGATCACGACTGCTCTTATAATGAACTAAAAGTGAAAAAAACAAGTTCAAAAATTAATAGCAGTCGGGTACGTTCTCCAAAATATTTTTGACGTAAAAGAAGCCCCGACTGTGCTTTTGTTTATTTTTTATCAAAAGATTGAGTCTTCTACTTTTTAAAGAACACTAAAGTTTTTAAGTGTTTTTCGAAGGTTACGGAAAAGGCGACGGCAGCAAATAATTAAATATATTTAGCTTTTATAGCTATTTTTTTTTAACTATAAAATATAGGTTATCTAAGTTAGAATCACGACTGCCCAAAAAATTAACTAAAAGTGAAAAACAAGTTCAAAAATTAATAGCTGTCGGGTACGTTTTGTAAAACACTTTTTAAAGTAAAAAGCCAATAAAATTACAGCTCAACTTTCCTAAAAACTACACTAATGTACATTGATGTAAAGAAATATTTTGTTTACGTTATCAAAGCATGAAGATTCAATGACAATAAATATACAGTTCAACTTTCTTTGAATATACCTACAACATAATACAGTAATAACACATTCTGTCGCTCACGCCAACAAGATTAATGAATTACACAGCTAAAATCAAAACTTTGAAGGATCCCCTTTCAATAACGTTCATAAATTTGAGAAGTACTCCAACGCAACGAAAGCAGATTATCCTTCAAAGTATTAACAAAAGCGGCAAATCAAAGGATATTTCTTCGGTGTACAGTTGCCACTTAAAATAGAACGAGTACTTTGGAGACATTTTCAATACGAGCCAATTGAACTTTTTAAAATTCAATACCTACTCTTAGTTATTCAGGTGGTCTTAGCTTTACATTTTAATTAAGCACAATAAAATGGTATGTGAACCTGAGTTACTTTTAATTATTGAGACTTCGTTCATTATTTTTTATCATGACACCTTTCTCCCATATTTCATCTATAGGGAAGGCATAGGTCCCAGCAGTGGGGAACTGGGGACATTCATAGGCTGATGATATTCATAAATTAAAAGTGGAGGTCGCAAAAACTACTTAATCATCGGATGAGTGGCCAAAAATTATTATCTCGAGTGAATCAGCTTTCTAATGATTATATTATTGTATTAGTTTTTATTAATCCGTGATGTTGAATGCTCTCACTCTCGTTGGGTAATAAATAATATACAGCTGATATTTGGCATTAGCAGCACCTTCATAAGATATTAATTGAAGCGATATTAGTACGGCAAGTGTATTCAGTGTTGTACTGTGAAGTTACCTGTGACTTATAGTTGATGTATATTTATTAAGGTTGGTGACCGGATAGCCAGTCTTACTGGTACATCGACCGGTCCAGGAGAACTAGCCTAGCTAGCAACATTTTGCATATTTTTCTTTTTTGCTTGACGCCTGACATTAAGAATATTTTATATTTACTAAGTTCACCGCCTCATAATGAAGTTGATTGTTTTTTTTTCTTTTATTTAGCCTCTAAAGTCTGAGTCTGTTTCCAGACCAGTGATCTAGACCTTGAGATAATTAAAACTGGTTTGCAAACACCTTTTACCTTAGAGAAGGTTAATGACATTTGTACTGGATGTAAAGAGTCTGCAGTTGGGTTCTAGGATTATTTTGGGCTCCGCTAATAAATAAACTTAACTTATTTTTTTATAGTTAAGCAATTGATTCTACCCCACCTGATGCTAAATGGTGGTAAAGTCTAGACGATAAGATAGCTGGTGCAGCAGTTATGAATTGCCATAGAAACCATCTTCACCTTACCGGCCTGTAAATTGCCTGCGGCAAGAATTATTAACATGTATGTTACGATACTCACCGCCGAATAACTGACTTTGTTCACGTAAGGGCTGTGCGCCATCGCCATTGACTTGTGTGCTATGATCAGCGCGAACGCATTTACGCCTCTGAACGCGTCCACGCCCTTGATTCTCGTCGGCGAATCGGTCAGATCGAATACTCTCCTCAAGTTGCGTTTCAGAGAAAACGCGTTGAGTAGTTTTTCGAAATTGTTAGCTCCCTCTTTGCCGTCGTCAAGAAGGGTGCCCATGCTCAGTAGTAGGAGAACTCCGAGGAAAAACGCACTGTGAAAAAATAAAGATAAGGTTTTATTCATTGAATAAATATAGTCTCGAGGTGAGATACATCGATGAGAAATATATAAGCGTGTTGGGCTTGCTATCAACTGTCGTATGGCAGGCCTCAGTTCGTATCCCGGTTTGATGTCTTTATACCTATATAGTCTCGAGTAATTGACAGTATTATTATTTTCAATATCACTCCATTTTGTGATGATTTGATTGTGACCAATATTGATTTACTTTTTGCAAATTAAGCTTATAAATAGAGATTTTGGTAAGTACTTTTAATTTTAGATCCCAAAATCCAAAAAAGACTGTTCTTAAACAGTTCCTAAGCTGAACTAAGAATCATTATGCTATGATGAGATTAAATCCTTACATAGCAAGAGTCTTTCCGAATGAGTACGGTCTCTTGAAGTTCTTCACCGAGCACATGGTGTGGTGCACCTTCACGGAGATGCCGAGCTTCGACAGCTTCCCAGAGAGCTCCCCCTCAAGGTCGAAACTGCTGCAGGAGCTAGGCATGCACACCCCCCACAGAAGACTCGAGTATCGGGGCACGCGATGACCCATCTGTGACAAAAAACTTATTTTTGATGCGAGACGAAGCAATAATGTAGGCCGGCAAGGTGAGGATGGAAGAAGAGGAGGAAGCAGAACTGCTGTACCAGTTATCTTCGCGTTTGGACTCCACCGTCACTTACCATCAGGTGCCGTGAAATCAACTGTCGATGTATTTATAAAAAAAATATCAGTATGAGATAAAAAATGGTGGGTTAATGACTAAGAATAGCATGATGGCATGACAGGAGTCGAGGTGACTGAATTTTGTAAGGAGGTTTTACCTGAACTTAAAGGCTAAAAATTTTAGGCCTGTTGTATTTTTTCTTAGTCTTAAAGCAGTTGAATTATGGCTTATTGTCGAAATTTGTGCATGCGCAACGTAAACTTAGGAACAGGACCCCTAGCACGAACCATTATCGAATTCGTTACGTTTGCGAGTCCGAAATGTCATTGCCAAATTTTGTATGGAAACATGAACAGAGCGCCACTAAGTACGTAACGAGAACTAAAAATCATTACATATTTGACAATGACATTTCGGACTCGCAAACGTTACGATTTCGGAATTGCTTCGTGCTAAGGCTCTGTAGTCAGTCGTCAATGCTAAGAGTAGTACTTGGTGGCGTAGATTACAATTTTGGTCGTTTCCATATTATTTAGGAAATAATACTACCAACAATTTTGAAAATAGAAACATTTTGAACGATAGAAGTATTTTTAAAAGGCTTTGAAACTAAATTGACGATCGAGGTTTTACATAATTATAAGATTCTCATACTGTGATCGCTAAACAGGTTCCGAAAGTGAAACTATATTGTATGAAACATTAAAAATCGTGTTTTATTCGATTGACAAGTGTAGCCTGAAACAATAGTGGCAGTTTTGATTTGCAAAACGGACGTGCCCGCTGTGAATATTAAAGACATTTTGTTTACATTTGAACTCCATTTTCGCCGACAAACGTCCAGAGTTCAATACAAACTTCAATGGGATTGTTCGCAAAGATAGCAAAGAATACTTTGCGCGATTTCAGTGGAGACGGCTGCCGGCTACGCCGCCAGTCGCCCTATTGTGTTGCACAATAACAATTGTGATTCAAAATCAGCTCAGAGTCCAAATATGTTGACATAGTAGTTAGGTTCGCGGATACCCGCGGAATATTAAACGGGCAACCTTGAACAAGAACGTTTATCATCCAGATAATTTGACGGCATTGCCCTTGTGGGGTTTCCAGTACTACAAATGATAAAATATTCCATTGATAGATTACTAGGTACTTTGGATTGAAAATATAAGGTAATTTATTGTTCTTATGTTATTATTGGTAGGTATGAGGATTGGAATGTAATAAAAGCAAAATTACGAGGTATTCGTAGAAAATGCTTATGATGAATTGGTTGTAATGCAATCTACATGGTAAAAGTAAAATCTTAGATCTGCTTAAAACTCAAGCTTTTTTTAGGTTTGAAACAAAGATTCATCCCGGGGCCAAAAAACTCTCTTCTAGGCGATTTGATGTGTAATAAGGATAAGTTAACCATCATCTACAAACTATTCTTTCCTATCAATGAATGAGATCACCTTTAACTATTCTTTTTCCAGAAAATAAGACTTATCGTCTTATTTTCTGGATCGGAAATTAAAAAAAAGACAAGATAAGACTCTTGCTCAAATATATTGTGGTAACGACAGGCAACCACTGAATATTACACTGCGCGTGGCACAACACATACTTGGTCGGTTTTTAAATCAAAATTGATTACTATTATACCAAGTAAGTAGACATAAATAAAATAGCATGATATTTTATACACAGCTCACGCACGGCCATCGCGCGACAGACTATATTTTATTAAGTCTTATTAAGTAAATATTTATTCAAGTCATTAGATCAGGATTAATTATTAATATATTAAGAGAGGTTTTTAATTGATCTAGGTAGGTAGGATCTAGGATCTAGGTAGGTAGGTTTGAAGCAAAGTATTGTTAGAGGTTACCTACTACTATGTTAAATATGTACTAATTTTCAGTTCACATTACGTCTGTTTTGGTGCTGCTGTTCAAGTTTACATACAAAATTAGATAATGACATTTCGCACTCGCAAACTATGTGAATTCGATAATGGTTCGTGCTAAGGGTACTAAACTCGCATACTAGATATGTATAATAGTATTAAGAAATGCATCTTAACCCCGTGAAATAGTGTTTTTTTACTTAATCAGTGGCGTGCGTGAAAAAATAAGAAAATCATAATTTATCTTAATTTATTTTAGGCAACACCTTATCATCAGATAATGCTAAAAGTATAACTTGATTTTGGACTCAGTGTAAAAGAAAAACATAGAATACGGAAGCTGCTCTATTTCCGGTGCAGATAATAAAAGCATAATAAGCATAATCAAGCTTAAGTTAAGTTGGCTGTCAGTCACTTATTGTTTCCGAACAATATTTTAGGAGATCCAACCAATGCCAAATCAATTGTGGCGTCACACGACGCGTCGTGTCGGTAAGAAGAACCACAGAACACAGATTTTTGGGTGTGACTATGGGAGTGATCACTCAACATTTTTCAACCTGGCGAATTCGTGAGGGACCTTGGCGAGCATTACTTACGTACGATCAAATAAATTACTTAGTTAATTTTTTATACTTTTTTTTAGCATTTAAATGCTAGATGTTTAAATCTAAAGAAAAATTTTACTAGAAAAATATCCAAACGGTCCATACAGCAGATGGGGCTCGAACTCGCACCCTCCGCTATCCGGGCAGATCCGGAAATACTAGAAGAAATTCGTGCGGAGCATAATTCGTCGGTATCATCCGCCCTGTGCGAGTTCGTGTCCCTACTGCTGCCTGGACCGCGTTGAATATAATGCTAGTATTGCTAGTAAAATTTTCTAAAAAAAACCGTACTGTTCTAATTAAGATGAAAACTGGAGAAATAAAAATGACCGAATTCTGTTAACATGCCTGCGTTCTGTATGTTTGTAATAGAGATTTTATGCAGTTATAGGTTTACACCTAAAATTTTCACCGAATGCGTGATAGATACTGTGGCCATTATCATAAAAAATCATGTGAACAAGGTTACAAAATATAAACGGTCAATGGAGATCTCATTAATTTTTAAACACTGGTCTTGCTTGGTCTTTTTAAATATGGTACGAAACCCTTTGTTTGCAAGTCCAGCAGTTCTATTCTGTAAGAACAAACTAACTTTTCACCTGAATCCGTGATATTATTTTAATTTAGAACATGAATCAGACTGATATTATAAAGGAGAAAGTTTGTGAGTGTGTTTGTTTGTTACTTTTTCACGTCTAAATGACTAGAGCGATTTTAATAAAATTTAGTATGGAGTTAGCTGACACCCTGGATTAACACATAGGCTACGTTTTATTGCGGGAAAATATCCCTAAAAAACCGCGGGTAACACCGCGGGGCACAGCTAGTTTCAAATAAATTTAAAATCATACCGGCGAATTCCGCGGTAACAAGCGAGTTTGTTTTACAGAATAGCACTGCTGGTCTTCCTTGGTTTATTTTAAATAGGTATTGTACAGAACCCTTCATGTGCAAGTCCAGCTCGTTTTGTTCTGAAGTTATCACCATCATATTCACCTTCTCTTATCATCAAACAAATCATCTTGACTAATTACCCTATTTATTTAGCAAGGCACAATTGTAATTCAAACATAAAACATTAATCAATTAATAATAAATTGTACCTAATTGATATACATTGCATTTGCGTAATTTGATGTCTTTTGCATAGACAACAATGCATTTAGAATAATTCAGGACACGTTTATATTTATTTTTATGGTAAAATGATGCATTGATTTTTTTTTATTTAAAAGGTATTTTTATCATTATTTTTAGGTAGGTTTTCATAAAAAAAATATTTATTTCTTCTTACTTAATAAAACAATTGATTAATGTATTTTTAATAATCTTGAGTTTTATTAGCAAATCATCCACTTTGTATAATAAAAATATGTATATAACATGAAATAATGCTGAATTATGAATTCTTTGGTAATAAGGAGTTCGTACCAAAAGTATGTTTTCTCTTTTAATTTTAAAGGATTTTTGTACCTATTACATTTATATATGTCAGCCCTACCGTGACTTGGGATATAATTAATTATTATGTTGGAAAATTCACATAATTTTCCTAATTCATGTTTTTCTGCGAATTTGAAAAAAACCTTCTTTGAAGGTTCTACCTTCAAAAGTATGGTTTGCATTTTTTTGCAAAGGAACTTAATACCCTTAAGTTTTGTAAAATTGTTTCAAATACACTGGCCTGCAAAACTAAGTATCACATTTTAACATTATTTATTTCCTACACTATAGAAGTTAGAGATTTAAAATAAAAATCTTCCTTTACAGCCGATACATTTTTTAGCTTTCTTTAAAACTGTACTACAAAATTAAACTCTTTTTCAGTTCCTTTTTATTTTGAAAGTCTCTCTTGTGTACTTAAAAAGTAATTGCAATTTTAAATGTGTGATACTCAGTTTTGCAGACCAGTGTATTTATGTCTAAAGTCTCACTAATCTTGTATAAAAATATGGTCTTCCTACAGGTAACTGACAAATTTGTTTTGATAGCAGTTGCATAATCAATGTGCAGTGATTATGGCAGAGTTCAATCACCTCATATGTATTGTCGCCACGCAAAATATTTTGTGTTTAAAGTAATAATAATAATTTATTCGTAATTACATCAGGTTACATAAGTGAGGCCCTGACTTCTAAACTAGTACAAACTGTATTTCAGAAGCCAGTGTCTTCCCATTAAAGATACACTAGGTGGTACTAAATAGGTACAAACTTATTTAAATATAAATTTATTTGAAATAATCAAAAAATAAATGATGATAATAGTGATATATATATATACTTAGCTTTCTTCCTACCCTACCTACTTACTTAGTTAAATGAGAATCAAGTGTGCATGCTTGCTTGTGGTGCGTGTGTGTGGGTGTAGGTATGTTGAAAATATACGTATGTGTGAGTGTGTGTAAGTAAATATGTGAATTCAAAAGTATAATGAGTACAAAGTTTAATACGTACTATTCGAAATGAATTAACATTTTAATCTCCTAAGTGGTATTGGTTGAGTCTACCTGTCCAATTATGTCGTTGTTGTGGTATTTGTGGCTATGTAGGGCATAGCGGATTTTCCGCTCGACTTGGAGCGCCCGTCTGGGGAAGTAACCTTCAGCTTAAGATGACCACACTAAAATAACACTACCTTTTTGGTAGCGTTGTGTATCTCCTGGTGAGTAGGTTTTCAAGGCATCCCGGGGTGGGATTGGGTTCAGGCCGTCAAGGTGAGGATGGCTGGAGCGCCACACTTTCTGCCGCATCATTTATCTTCGTGACTGGATTCCACTTAATATCAGGTGGGGTGGGGTGATTTGTTGCGCCACGCATAAAAAAAATATAAAGCTCAAAGATGGGTAACTTGACCGATGGAAGTCTGTACGATTCAGCATAATTATTAATATAGCCCCAACGTAAGCAAAAGTTTAGGCCTAAATATATATGGGTGATGTGCGTTCTGTAGAATTTACTTAGCTTATTATTTTGGCAATACACCAAGGGTACATAAGAGGGTAATTAAGAGCCTATCGCTTGCATACAGTAGTTTCCGAGGTTGCCCAGTTCGTTGATAGAGCAGTCAAAGTCAAGGTCTGTTGTCCAGTCCAAACTTCATTTGCTTGGAATTCTTTCTAAAATTTGTTTCTTTATAATATCTATGCTTTGCAGTAATGCCGGACAACACGCAGCAACTTTGTCTAGTACCAACTCGAACTAAGCAGAATTAGTATTATGGATATTTTAAAGTTTTTGATATATTTAGTACCTATGCATGGAGTATATAAATATGTTAATCTGATGTTAAGTATAGAGTCCAGTCGGGATGAAAAACTATGCGGCAGAAAGTGTGTCGCTCTAGCCATCCTCACCTTAGTGTCGCCGCACACGGGCCACCGACCACAACCACAAAACGCCGCCACCGGCATATTTCTTGTACTTTTCATACATTTTATATGGACTCGCCACACACGATATGCCGGTGGCCGCCACACGCTACAAATCGTCGTTGCTTTTTGTGGCCTGCACCGGCCACTTAATGCGCCGATACAAATTGCGCCACACGTCACTCGCGCGATTCTCCACCCCTCTCTCCCTTACCTTAGTCGGCCGCTGTCGCGCGCTTCAGCCACTTTAGTAGCCGCTTCTAGCTTCTCGTGGCGGCGTTTGTGGCTGTGGCGTGTGGCCCGTGTGCGGCGACACTTACGTTACCCAATATTCCACCCCGTGGAGCCCTGGAACCCTACTACTAGATGACAATTAATAATACTTATAATATTAAATAAATGCCATTTATAATATATAAATGTAATAAGAATATCGACTTAATATAATTTGTATACCTTAGCAAAAGGCGAAAATGAAGTGATACATAAAATATTAATTTAACTGTAACACCTTAAATGTTACCTGCTAACCTTCATTTCAGAAATAAATAATCTGGTTCTGATTCATCATCAACCCATGTTCGTCCACTGCTGGACAGGTCCTTCAGGGATACTCTGAGCATAGCCCTTTCCTCTCTGAGCGACTTTAAACTGGTGGTCTCGTCCAGCCGTGAGTGTCCACGTCTCGGCGCCGTATGTCATAACTGGGAGGACGCACTGGTCGAAGACTTTCGACTTGAGACATTGAGGGATGGGTGACGAGAAGACTTGACGAAGCTTACGAAATGCTGCCCAGCCTAACTGAATTCTTCTATTGGCTTCTCTCTCGAAGTAGTTTCTGCCTAATCGGAGCGTTTGTCCTAGATAGACATATTCCTGAACAACCTCGAGAGGTACTCCATTAACAGCAACCAGTCCCGGATCAACGAGCTCGTTGAACATGACCTTGGTTTTATCAAAGTTCATCCGGAGACTTATGCGTTTGGAAGATTCAGCCAGGCTGCTCACCATCTCCTGTTAGCTCTTGCAGGATTTCAGCCAGGATGACGATGTCGTCCGCGAATCGGAGGTGTGAGATGTATTCGCCATTAATATTTATTCCACGTCTTTTCCAGTTGAGCGTTCCGGGAGAAGAGTTTCGGGGATATTACATCCCCTTGTCCCAGCCTGCTCCGCAGGTTGAGCTTCGTCAAGTCTTCGTGCATGGCGATTCGAGATGACTCTTGAAAACAATTTATAGACATGGCTCAGTAGTGAAATTGGTTTTTGGTTCTGATTCTGATTCTCAATTGCAGAAACACAATAACACCAAAAGTCTGTAAGGCCGAGGTTGCTTTTCCGGACAGGCGCTTCAGCAGGACCAATTCTAGCAGAAAAATCGGCTTAATATAGGTAGATATAATACAATTTACATGAATAACCATGACTCAACATATATTTGTGCTCATCATCGTTACTTAAATTAATTTTTGGAGCATTGCACCTCACCGATCGCTTTTTGCTCGTAAGAGTAAAGGTGAATTTTTTACACATCAACGGGTTATTAATCTCGAGCATATATTAATAATACATTTAAGACCACATGCTTTGATTACAAAGCAACATAGATCCTATATTTTGAGAGCAAGTGTATTCACTATTCAACGGATTTCAAGAAAACATAATCATTTAAAGTGTATGCTTTTGGTTAAACCCCTTAGTAAAAAACAAAAGAAATATAAATGGTAACGATATGGTCTCATGTGACTATGTGACGAAGGACGTTATCGGATTCATCTATACATATAATAAAATGGTAGGAAAGTCAAAACTGTAAATGGAATATTTTTTAAAAGAATAATTGGGGTGTGATCTACAATCGATACCGAAGCCAAAAATATAGTTTTTAGAATTTTTGTCTGTTTGTCTGTATGTATGTCCGGGATAAACTCAAAAAGTACTGCAGGGATTTACTTCAAATTTGGAATAATATTAAGAAGTCGGGTCAACATATAGGCTACATATTATCACGTTATAACCGACAGGGAACGAGCAGTGCACATTTATTTCTAACTAACTCCACGCGTACGAAGTCGCAGGCGCCCGCAAGTTATACTAATAAACATACTTATAAATTCGAAATTATTCAGTTGGAGAGCTTATTTTCAATTTATTTGGAATAAGACAGAAGAATCGATGGTAAAAAATCTGGTTTTACAGGTTGACGTTCATTTTGCAATCTAGACGGGTCACCTGACCAATGTTTGTTGTTGAAAATTGATGTTAACAGACCGCTTGGTCACTGTCTAGCCAATTTAAAGTTACTACAGATGTGATTCATGTAAATAATATCCATAATTAAATTCATGGAGCCAATAATAATAATTTTCCGGGTCATAAGGAATCATAAACCATAACTTATTTGTTTTGGAGTAGTAGATTTTCTTTTTTGTAAAGATAGCGCAGAAGGTAATTGCTAGAAGTCAAATTAATGGTTATCATGACTTTTCAAATGGGTATGTTTATAATGTAATTAGAAGTAATTATAACGTGGTACGGTCCTCTCGTACATTTTGAAGGTTCTTCGTTTTAAATAGACGTATTAATTGGCATCACAAACAGTAATAATTAAATAAAAATAACATTGTAGGTCAATGACCTTGTAAAGATGCTGCGTAGCTTGTAAGTAACTGAATGGAAAAAAAATAATCAGCCCTTTAGCATGTTCTACCTATAGTCTAAAAGTAGTATGGATTGCAGTTTTCCATCTGGAATAAAAAAGTTCCACCTGTCTCAACCTTTTGGTTGGCGTGTAAGCTTTTCAGGGATCTGCGCGAGTAATACTGAACAGTATCGCAAACCCATAAATTGGCCTATGGTGGCCGTTTACCGTCAGACTGGCGAAGTTATCCTTTTTACATTCAAAAAGGCTTCTCTTGTCCATGGGACCAATGCTACCTAGTTTGTGTTGAACTGTTATTGAGCGCACTACTTCAGAATCTAAACAAAGCACATCAGTGACATTGCTTCTGTTACAAACTGATATTTTACAATACGCTTCGTAGGATGTAAATAAACAGAACGCACATCAATAACATACAATGATCGATATGTACGAGCGTGTTTATATCGTTAAATTGTTCTACGAAGCTGCAGTGACGTGAGATAGTACATCCTACAGGCCAATGTTACCTAATTTCTGTTATAAACTATAACAATAATATAATAATAAATATTTCGAACACTCACATGAATTAGTATATATATTTATAATTATATATATAATTATGTTCGAGGTGGGGCGCTAATAACTGCGACACAGTCTCTGACTAATGTAGTTATTAACGTTTTACATTGTATATGTACAAACTATGTAACTGCAAATAAAAATTAAAATTAAAATTAAATTAAAGCCTAGCCCCAAAGTAAAGCACTATAAGGCTTGTGTTATGGGATACTAGGGTAACGGATAGAATACATATATAAGTAATAAACATCCATGACTGGAGTACAAATACTCGTATTCATCACACAAACATCTGCACCCACCGGGATTCGAACCCGGGCCACTCGGCTACGGAGGTTAATACAATACCGCTTCAGGTTGTAAGCAAAGACTTACATCAGTTACATTGCTCCTAATGTAGTGACCGCTATGAACCAGTGTGTCTATCTCCTTAAATTGTCCCGCGAAGCTTATCTGCAGCGAGGCGAGGCAGTACTTCCCACGGACCGCACCGTCGATGCTGAGACACTCGTCGAAGTCGCCAAACTGGTTGGCGTTCCCGCTTAGTACGCCCGCTGGAGGCTTGGCCGTCGCATCGAACACTGTAACAAGCATTTGGGTTTTTACGGAATGAGTCAGACCCAGAGAATTTTGGTATGACCTACTTACCAAGATGAGATAAAAATAACTATAAAAACTCGAAAGGGACGTATCTATTTTAGTAAATTATTTTAATTTTATAGCTTTTCTAGGAATTATTATTTGGTTTAGTTAGGTATTTATTTCAATTAGTAGTATGCAATTGCTAATAATAAACAATTAACGAATGTGCATTGCATTCGCAGTAAATTCAATAATAACTGCCTTTATGAATTTAGAAGTAGCGAAATATTTTTTAAACTGGAGGAATGGATTGTATAGAAGAACAGCATTTTGCTATTATGAGACTAAAACAAAGACTTGAACTCTTTAATAATGGATTTTTGTTTAAATAAAAATATATAATTTAAATAAAGAATAAAAACTAATATAAAACATAAATTATTCAAAAGCTACTTGGTTTTAACGAAGGAGTGATTTTAAAGAGACTATATGATAATATTATCCAGATTTAAATTAACTCGTTGTTTCAATATTTTTTTTAATTAAAGGGTCTGTTTAATTTTTTCTATGTACACATTCCTAAAAAATAGGATAAACAATAAGCATTCCCAGAAAAATAATGCTAAATAGTTTCTTTACCTAATTTATTGGCACAATGATGTATAATGCAGCGATTTTGTCAAGTTCAAACATGTGAAAAAAGTGTAAGAAAACAAAATCATACTCGAAAAGTCTGATCAAACTATAGCACCTTACAATTTTAAAGGGTAATATTTTTTATTTGTGTATTATGTAAAAAAGTATTAGGAAAGATTTTGTTGAGTACTGTGCTGTTATTGTTTTTCTGAACTGTTGACACTTGACACTAGTTGACGTAAGGGTTTCTAGACTTGATATACCCCGAACTAACATTGACAAATATGTTTGCTATTGTAGATTTTGAATGTCATAATTTATTTAAATAAAAATCTGTATCGCAATATGAAGCAAAATAAATAAATTTTAATGGTCGAAGTCGACTATGTTCTTGATTTCTTTTATTTAAAAACTAGCTGTGTCCTGAGTTGGTACGCGTAATTTATTAGGGATATTTCTCTGCAGTTAAACGTAGCCTATGTGTTAATCCAGGGTGTCAGCTAACTCCATACCAAATTTTAATAAAATCACTCGAACCGTTTAGACGTAAAGAAGTAGCAAACATACACACTCACAAACTTTCGCTTTTATAATATGATGTTATTATGATTATGTACAAAAGTCCCATACAAATATGAAACATCTCCTTTGCATTTTTCTGATATTGACCTATCTAATAAATGCGTTTTAAGGGTTTTAAAACTAAATATTACATAAATTGATTCATAACTTCGTGGGACATTTTGCCACAAGACGCCACGGCGGCAACAGAAACACACATTCTGTATTTTTTTTAAATGTATGTATATCTTCTACAGCTTATAAGATACAGTCTCTCTGGTAGACGGACGGACAGACGACAGAGGCCTAATAATAACGGGCACTTAAGCGTAAAGACAATAAATAAAAAAAAACTAGTTCAATATCAAGTGTAACTAAAACCTCCAAGGTCAGTTATGTTATTCATTACGACAGGAGAAATTACATAAGGTTAGTAAAGTTTAAGGTTAAGTTAGCGGGACCGGATTCATGGCGGTTTATTGCGGAGAGTAGAACGTCCGGTGTTGCCATGTGTACCGTAAATACGGCTGGTTCGACTTATTCAGGAGATAATCAACTGAAGATGAAAGAAGGGGATTTTATCTTACGGGCTTTTTGTAAACTTTTAATTCAAAATTTATTGCAGTAGTACACCTAATATACAAATATGTTGTATTTATTTAACTAACTTAAACAACTTGCCATTGAAATGACATAATTTCCTTATTTGTGAACAATATATTTTTTTGTTTATAGGTAGGGGAGAAGGAGGCACCTTAGCAAGGGGAAGATTTGAACATGTTGAATTCTGAACGTAACTTTATGTTAATTTATGAAGTAACTACTTTTCAATATTGGCAGCACTGGCTGAGACAAACGTCAAGTGATAAAGCACGCGCATATCGTTTTCAAAAAGATTAATAGTTTTCAAAAAGATTGCTCTTGTTCAATCTTTAATTCTGCCTATTATCGATTATGCCGACGTATGTTATCAAAATATTAATGAAAATCTTTTAAATAAGTTGGATCGTCTTCTCAATAACTGCATTCGCTTCATATATGGCTTACGTAAATACGCCCATATCTCACATTTTCGTCATCAACTCAAATGGCTTCCTATTCGTGAGCGTAGAAACCTTAGAGTTGTTTGTGCTCTTTTTAATCTTCTTTACGATCCACATACACCACCTTACCTGAAAAGCAGATTTAGGTTTCTGTGTGATTCTCATGACCGTGTCCTCTGTTCAACGGACAACCTCCTTCTGCATACTCCCGTCCACTCTTCTGGCTTCGTCTCATATTATTTTACCATCACGGCTGTACGACTCTGGAATGACTTGCCCCCTAATATACTTAAAGCTCCTAACAAATTTGTATTTAAAGGATTGGTTCGTGAGCATTATCTTAATATAATTAATCTGCGTTCTCATATTTTACTGGCATAATTATGTGTATGTTTATGTATGTATTGTAGATATAGCATATATATTTAGATGTATGTATTGTATATATATTTTATTATTTGTGTATTCTATTGATATATATATTACCTACCTGGTTTATTTAGCATATGTCCTTATTGCACCTCCGTATTTTTATTTCTCACGCTTTTACTAGTCGACTGGTCGAGAACGCCTTATGGCATTATGTCCGCCATTTGCTGTTTGTTTTGCAATAAAGTATAAACAAATAACAACCTGACGCCGCATTTGCACCGGTGAAGTAAAAAATAAAAATAAATATTGTAAGGGTTTTGTATCACGTGATTTACTCAACTAATTCTTTCACAAAATTGTGCAGTACCTTTTAGTTTGCAATCCACTTCTTTTTTGTAACATTTTATCTTCTAAGTGACCATGGGGCAGATTTGATCAAAACAAACGAGGCATGTTTGAACGGGATGTTCAAATGCAAACTTCAAATGTTTACTAATACATGTATTCTAAATGTAATACTTAATTGTAATTATATGCATCACTAACTGTAATTCATTATTTATTGATTGGTTAGAACATACAAAAATAAGCGCGAAAGTACAATTAATGAAGATGATGCCCAAAATGCTATTTTATGCGTCATCAACGGAACTATGAAACTTAAAAGAGCTGTAGATGCATATGGACTGAAGCCTAGTTCCTACACTCTTCTATCAAGTTAAAAAATATCAAGAAGACATAGCTCCAAGAAGTGAACTATTTTTAGAACAACTTTTTTGTGGTTTAGAAGTTTGATTTTAAGTTTAATTTCGACTCTGAGGCAGTATAGTGCAATTATAATTACAATAATCTAAAACTCTTGTGCAATATGATTACTTTTGTTAACAAGGAGGCAGTCAGATACAATTAAAAATTACTATTTTTATTTTTCCTACTCGTACTGTAATGCAAGATGTAACTTTAGAAGTTTCATATAAGTTTATTTTATATTTTAATAACAATAAATATCATTATAATAAAGACAAATTATTACTCCTCCTCTCTTTTTTCTGGTTTTTAACTCATTGTTCAGAACAGCCCCATGTTGATTCAAATTTACCCCTATGGGGAGGCAGATTTGAACAAATTTGTCTTTAAAAAAAAACACATTAATTCTCTTTAACGTTTTCAGCAAATTCAAACATTTCATCATTTTTATATTAACAAAGGAGTAAGTAAGCTAAAAAAACTATGTTTTTTCAATTTCTCTTTAAAGTTGATTTTTTATGAGTCCAAATATGAAAAATGTGCTAATGTGCCTCCCTCTCCCCTACAATAAAATTTACGAGATGATAATGTGAGAGTATTGATATGTAAATGTAAAGCTACAGTAGTTACGTTTGTTTTTTCCGGCAGAGATGAAATATATATCAATTGAAAGCTTATTTTATGTAATACCATGAACACATATTTATATTTTGTATTTATCCCCGATTAATTTTAAATTGTGTTTAAAAATTTATAAATTTCGTAAGGATTCTGGCTTCCCTGTCATAAGTAACGTCAAATTTTTAGTGTATTTTAGGTGTATTTTATTTTCGTTTTTTTTTTGACTAAACGTTACAATACTGTAGCATTGACTGTGGGTCCCACACTAGGAGAAACCTGTATCGTGGGCACCCTTATATAATAAATAGGATGGCGTCACATTAATAATTTATATGTAATTATTATTTGTAACAAAACAAACGTAATGAAATCAATTATAAATACAAAATAATAAAATCAATATTGTATGTATGTGTATGTCTGTCTATGTGTGTTTGCGTGCGTGTGTGTGTTGGTGTGTGTGTATGTGGAGAAGAATAGATATAGTTTGGGATAGGAATGTATTGATGAGATGTTGGTCTTATTTTGTGTGCTTAATAAGGTCCTCTGTTTGAAGGTAGGTCATGCACTTCAGCCTTTTAATGAGCACGCGTTTGGCTTGTTTCAATGTAGCTGTTTTTATGTCACACAGTTTTGCCATTTTATTATACACATACGGGAGCATGTGACTAGGAAAGCGTTGTGCAAAAGCGGAACGCACTCTGACAACAAACAGAAATAGTCTGTGGCAGCTTTTAACGTCAACTCAATTACTATGTCAAATGTAAATCGGTCCGTCATGCATGGTATTCGTGAAATCGTGATGTAATGATTATACAAATTTTTGATTGATTCTTCTTGAAATAAAATAAACCCCAATATAAATAATAATTTTACGAAAGATGAACAGAATAATTATTACTACTTAAGTTACATATGGAAAAGAATATATTTGATGCTTTGGCCACACACAGTAGACTAATAAACTTGCCATTTGCCAATCACTAATTATGTAATTTTTAATTCTAAATATTATTGAA